GTCAGTGGCTAGCGCTGCCATCATTTGAACCACACCGTCTAGCGTAGTAGGGTGGATTGTATGCGCGGGATAGACCTCTGATCCTGTTGTGCAGTCAGGCTTGAAGACCTTGACTTCTGCAATCATGGCTTTTCCATCGTTCTGCCTGGAAACGTTGCCCTCAATGACTCTGAACATCGACCCATAGTGATACCCACAGTTGCGCAGGCCGTCATAAAATCTGCCTGAGTCTTCATGCGATGCACATTGCTCGCTTGCACGCTGGCAATTCTCAACAAGGGACGCCTGCCATTTAGCTTCTTCACCATCGCTGATGTTTGGCGTCTGCACATCGGACTCATAGTGAGCTTGGATTGAACCCGAGCTGTTCTCAATCCACGATTCATTGTTGTACGTACAAACGCTGTACTCGAACCAACCCGTCGCATCCTTGTTGGCACTTCCGACTCGCTTCAGGTAAACGCACACCTCAACACCATCAGCATGACTTGGAATCTGCAAAGCCGACGAGAAGACCACGTCCTTGATGTCGAATCCTGCGATGCCCTGGCGCTGGTCTGCCAGTTGCTTAACTGCTTCGATAGCCATGACGACCATGCCGGCACCGGGATACAGGATGCTGTTGTTGATCTTATGATCCTCCACCCATGGCATCTCCGAAAGCCGTATGATGTTTCTCCAGCTGGCCTCTATAGAATTTCCATCAGGATCAGGCACACCTAGTAGTTCCGTGTGGCCGAACCGACGGAATCTGTAACCTTTGCTGATGCGGCTTTCGAACCAATATGTCTTGGAGTGGTTAAAAGGGTACTCCGGTAAATTGACGAGCACGCGACGATTGTGTTGCGGCTCAAGTTCGCCTCCATTGTTGACTGAAAGCAGGTCAATCGGGTAGCCGCTACAGTGCAAGCGGCCTGCCCCGTGCATCACGCAGTCAACGGCGGAGCGACCACGGCGCAGAAGTGGAATGTAGGTGATTTGATCGTGCTTTCCCCCGGCCTTGAGAATGTCTCCACAAGGACCTTGAAGGGCGGAATGAGGCCCGATTTCTAGGAGATGGTCCGGCGCGACATTGCGGCGATGACTTCCATCGAATCTACGAGTTGATGCTGTTGATTGGGAACACAACTTTGAGAGAGCATCGTCGAATAACACGGGCGATACCAGGTTCCTTACCCAGTACTCGGGCTTGGAAAGCTCCTCTTCTGAGATCCATGCCCCGGTGACGCTGGATACCATCACCGGCGGCTTCTTGGCTTTGGCTGGTCGTTCCAGCTCCGCTAACAGTTCTTGATATATGCCGGCAATCTCTTTCATCTGAGATGAGTGATATGCGACGTTGACTGCAAGCTTTCTTGCAAAAACCTTCTTCTCGACTAGAATTTGATGCAGGAAGTCGATCTGTGTCGCTTGCCCGGAAATAGTGACGCTAGTGGGGCTGTTGATGCAAGCAACTTCGAGCTTGGGTTCACGGAAGTGGTAGGCCACGAACTTCAGGTATCGCTGCACTTCTCGGCTCGACATACCCACAGCGAGCATAGCGCCATGCATACCACTGGCCAGATGTCTTGTGAATTGCCATGCGAGAGCGCGTTTACAGTATTCGTTCTTTGCGCCACCTTCTGGGATTGCTTTCTGGAACCGTCTGGAACAGCGTCAGCATATGAGCAGGTGTCATGAGAGCATGATGCTTCCGGGACCAACTTACTCAAAACAGGAAATATCAAACAGGGGTTCGCTCTTCGCACGATCTTGACCCTTTTCCCCGAATTGCATTGCCATTAGAGCAGCCAGAGCATTAGGTGCCATAGTACGGTACTTCCCTAAGATCCCGGTGAGGAAGCCTCTATAGTACGCAATCTTCAGGGCAGAACCTCTTGTGATTGCACCAGCGCAATAACTGGATTTTCCGCAAAATATTAGCTCAATTCACTGGTGGAGGTAATTCAAGGAATTGACTTACGCAGCTGCAATCTCACCAGAGGAATGACCAACCACTGCATCAGGCCTGAGACCCCATGATTGGAGGAGCTCTACTAAGGCAATCTGCAGTGCTGTGCAGAGTGGCTGTCCAAACGTCGGGTCGTTGACTCGAGAGTCAACTTCATCTCTCTGCAACTCGTCTGCAAAAAAGGTGAGTACTCTGAAAAGCCAAGGGGCTCGGAAGCGCTCACCTAGAACATCCCATGCACAACCAAGCCTCTTCAAGTAGTTGCCCGAATCAATTAGACTAGTCTTGAAGACATCGTATCGATCTATCAGTTCACGGCCCATAGCATGCCACTGGGCTCCTTGCTGCTTTGCGGTTAGTTGGGCCTTCAGATAGTATCTATAGAGGTACTCACACCCGTGAAGATGAAGGCTAAATGTGGGTTTGGCTTGGAGCATGTAGGAGTGCTAATCCTCTCCATCGCAACGTGCAGGTCTTCCGCTGGCTTTGCAACGACAAAGGCCCTCCATGTAAGTTCGCTCCGCCTCGCACACAGTGTAAAGGCCAAGTCTTGTATGCAGGCTACCGTGGGTCGGTTCATCGCTTCCGTAGCAGCTACATACTGCTGCCACGACTGGATAATTCTTTTGATGCCCGCTTCATCTGCTGCAGACCACACTAGAACAGCACATTCAGATGTGGGAATTACAATGCCATTTCTCCGAGTATTAGAAGAGTCGGTGCCATTCTTGGTTTGACCATTTGCCTGTAGTAGGTGCTCTTCGTTGTGTAGCAAGGGAGGCTCGATGGCAGTCTGGTGACGTCCATCTTCGATACCGTGCATGCGAAAGGTGTTGTAAGCATCGTCGAGAACGACATGACTATTGGCGCCACCAAAGCCGAAGGAATTGACAGAAGCTCTGCGTAGGCCTGGCGAGGGCCAAGAGATCGCATGCTTCAAGATCTGTATCTATGTTAGCAGGAAGTAAGCTCAGGGGAGAACAAGTTCTTACCTTCAGATTAAGATACTGCTCATCGATCTGAGGATTGAGTGTCTGCAGATTGCCACTGTTTGGCGGAATGATCCCTTTCTCCAAGATAAGAACTGCTTTGATCAGGCCCGCAATACCACTCGCTCCCTCTAGGTGGCCGAGGTTGGATTTTACAGAGCCCCTATAGGCTGCATTAGACTGTAACTAATAATTAGAATCAAGATGCAGATCACTTACACGTAAAGTGGATCGTCGGATGAGCGATAACCTTGAAAGGCTGATCCGATCGCCCTAGTCTCGATGGGATCGCCAACCGGAGTCCCTAGCCAATATTAGCGATATTATACCCCATGTGACTCAGGATCTGCTCACCGGTGCCATGCGCCTCGAAGTATCTGGTTGAACACATATCAAGACCGGCTTTCCGATACGTGTCACGAATCAAGCGGACCTGCGCGTCTTTACTTGGCTGCAGGATCCCCGGAGTCTTGCCGTCCTGGTTGGAGCTCGACGACCGAATGACCGCTCTGACAGTGTCTCCCGCTGCAATGGCCTCATCGAGACGTTTGATGATCACAGCACCAACGCCTTCGCCTCTTGCATATCCGTTGGCACGATTGTCAAAGCTGTAACAGCGGCTATCGCGGGACAGGAGCCCAAGGTTATCCAAACCGATCGTCATCTCAGGGGCGAGTATAACGTTACACCCGAGGGCAATTCCCTATGTGAGAGGTCAAAAAAGGTTAGACTTGCATCCATATCAAATGTGTTGTGGAAGGAGTAAGGTAGGAAGAGGGATCACGAACCATCGTCGCATCACCAGTCCACAGTGACTGACATGCCAAATCCACAGCCATGAGACTGCTGGAGCAGGCAGTGTCTACCGTTGCGCTTGGACCTTGCAAGTCAAAGAACCAACTGATACGGTTTGCAATCATACTCTGGGAGCTGCCCATGGCAGCAGTCTTGGGAAGATTTAGAGTGTCCTTGGTCTGGATTGCATGATAGTCGTTGCAAAAGGAACCAGCCATCACGCTCGTCTTTGAACCGGCCACCTCGTTCATCGGAAGGCCCGCGTTCTCGAGAGCTCGATACACGGTCTCCAAGGCGAGGCGCTGTTGTGGATCCATGGCCTTTGCTTCGGCGTCGGAGATGTTGAAGAAAGGCGCGTCAAATGCCGCGAGATCTCGAGTGAGAAAGTGACCTCCTCTGCAAGACACACTGTGCAACTTATCTCTGTTGGAATTGTGATGACCATCGATATTCATTCGGTCTGCGGGGAAATCGCTGGATACACATCGACCTTCAACCAGCATGTTCCAGAACGCATCTTGGGTCGTTGCATCTCCGGGAAACTGGAGGGATAGCCCGATGATGGCGAGCGGGGGAACCACGTCGGACGCCATGATGAAGAAAGCTGCCTGAAAGATCAAATGTTATCACTTGCTGTACAGTCATGTATAGGGAGAGGCTGGGTGTCTTAGATCCAGGTCGACTTACCCCACTGCTCCTCAACTTGACGAAAGGCTTAGCAGTCTGAAGGGTCACATTGACATCTTACGTGATGTGGGTGAGATGTCCAGAGTCATGATCTCATGAAGTGCAAGGAAAGGAGAAGACACGGCACAGATGTGTTCAAGTGAATGAAGTGGGATCGTGTTCACTTGGGTTGGCACGGCCTGGCTTTGTTATCCCTCCCGTCTCTACCAGGTAGTAACACCGGTGAATTTTGAGGAATTACTACCCAGCTGGGCTGTTTAGCATGTGCTATCCATGACTCCGGCTGTCAAAACTGGTCCATTCACTAGAATGGATGCAAGGCTGCATGGCCCAAATCGACATTAGTACAACGAGCTTGCATGATTCGTGGGAGGATCGGGGATCATCCCCAGCCCGAAACAGATAGCCGAGTTCTGTTCAAGATTCCTATCACCGAGTGACAAGACGATTCTTGAGAAAGGCAATATAATCAACTTGCCGTGTGGTCCTCTTCTCCTCCTTCCACTTGCTTCCGGGCGGAGTTTGTCAAGTTTGCTATCTTGCGAAACAACAACGTTCCTACTCACACGGTCTTCGGCATGCACATTCTTTGGTATGTCGACTAGATTTCAAAAAGTCCACTACCTTACTCTCTTCATATACTCACATGAAGCCAGTCTACACGGAGCCGGCTCAAACTCTCGAGTAGGTCATCTCACATCCCCATCACGCCCCAAACCAAAACCAGCCAGGCCAGCTGACAGCCCCAGGTCTTCGAGATCCAAACCGCAGCCATTCGGTACGAACTCGGTGATAACCACACCTACGACTTCATCGAAGGCAACATCCCTGCCCCAATGCAGCCGGGTAAGCCTCATTCCCTCTTCTCCTCCTCAACACCAGCCTCCACAAGCCAGGAACCAAACGTGGTCGCAGGGATCGAACTCATCGCGACCAAGGACGAGCCGATGTACGCTTACTTCGACGAGAAGAACCCGGAGAGCGGAGTCGCCGCCTACGGACACCTGGAGGAACTGCTCTACCACGAAGGGCCCTACGACGGCGTCATCGCGTTCAGCCAGGCAGGCACGTTGATCCTCACCTACCTCGCGTATCTCGCCAAACAGAAGCCGGACAGCCCGCTGCCCTTCAAGTTCGCCATCATCCTTTCGATCACTCACCCGCCCCTGGACTACGGCGCCATCCAAAGCGGGGAGATCCGGCCGATAGACCTCGGAGCCCACCAGGATGTGGTCCGCATTCCCACGGCGCACATCTGGGGCTCGCAGGATCTGGCGGCGGGCGAGATTGCGGTGACAAATACCATCTGCGCGGCCGGGGTGCGGTGGGTGTATGTGCATTCACTAGGGCATGACATTCCCCGGGCCGGGGCCAGGAGCGATGTAACCCAAACTGTGCACGTCATTCGCCGGGTCATCGATGCCGCATCTAAAGCAGAGTGACTAGGACTGCACTGCACCTATTGTAAAGTACCACTAGTGGATGTAGATCATTTCGTTGTGACACGATTTTGTTTGCTTCTCGACTGGAAAGAAAGTGACATGCAAGGTCCCGGTGAATCACCACGCATTCACTCCTACCCGGTGTGTGCAGGGGTCGTACGGGTCTGATTTCTTTTACCAAGAATGATCTAGTAGCAATGTGAGCTAAGCCTCTAGCTGAACTCTGGGCGGATCCGCCCAGTAAGGTTTAATGATCGATGATCTCAGAGAGTCCTTTCTTTCTGTTGCCCAGTGTCAGGTATCCAGCGCCGGAATCGTGCCCTTATATGTGGATGATTCCCAGGCGTCTATCTGCTTTCCTCGCGGGAATCCCGGTTGTCACTGCAACATCAACCCACCGAGTCCCAGAGCAATGGATGTCAATCGCAAAACCCATGGCTCGGTCCCCTAATCGCACGCCCTGCCATCCTTGAGTGCCTCGTCGGCCGAAGAACAGGACAACGAGGTCTTTGGTCAGCCGAGGTACATGCATGGCGCTCGACTGTGGTTCGCTGGCGGCGGGTAAGTTTTAATCGATCTGACAGCATCACCGAACATTACTATCACTAACTACCTTGCCTACATGTCACAGTATCGCGCTGAGTCTATTCCTCGCCACGGCTGAGATCACAATCATTAGTACCTCACTAGTCACCATCAGCCGTCACCTGGATGGCTTCGATCAAAGCACCTGGATCATCACCTCCTACCTGCTGGCGTTCGCGGGCTTCCTCACCGTCTGGGCCAAATGCAGTCACTTTATTGGGCTCAAGATAACGATTCTAATCTCACTAGCCATCTTCGTGGCCTTCTCAGGAGGCTGCGCTGCTGCCCAGACCATGAGTCAGCTGTGAGTTTAGTTTCCCTGGTCACACCCCCCCCCCTGCCACACCTGGTCTGATCGCTCTCGCACAATAGCATTATCTGCCGCGCCTTCCAGGGCATCGGGGGATCAGGGGTCTTTACCTCGTGTCTTTTCGGCCTGATCTGCCTCCTTCCCCCTGCCAAGTTTGACATCGCCAGTGCAGCGGGGTCAGGTGTGCTGACGCTGGCGCTGATCCTGGGTGCATTAATTGGGGGTGGCATCAGCACATCCGGCGCCTGGCGTTGGATTTTCCTGTTCAAGTATGTGAGCTATGCGAGTCATGTAGGTCTGTGTCGACTGCCTCTAGTGCTGACATGCCTTCTTGCTCTAGTGTTCCGGCCGGGATAGTGGCATGGGCAACCATCTGGATCCTGGTTCCCAACGACCTTGAGAGTTCCCGAAAGGCCGGCGACCAGATCCATGGGCTCTGGAACTTCCTGGCCAAAGCAGACACCGTTGGCTGCCTGCTGCTGCTCTCCTTCTCCGTCTTCTTCGTGGCCGCCTTCGAGGAAGCGAACATCCGGTACGCGTGGTCGTCAGCCGCCATCATCGCCATGCTGACGATCTCGGGCGTGTTGCTGGTTGGGTTTATCGCATGGGAGTGGTCCGTGGCCAATCGCAAGTATTGGGGATTCGAGCCGATTCTCCCTTGGAGCATCCTCCGTAACCGAGTGTTGCTGGGAGCCATCCTGTGAGTCGAAGCCCCCCTCCCGCTCCTCTTGCCCCCACTCCTTCATCGCCTGACAACACACCCCTCCCCCCAGGGGCTGCTTCCTCACAGGACCTGCGGTCACAATCCTGTACATCGAACTCCCGCAGCGCTTCCAGACCGTCAACCACAGCACCGCGATCGGCGCCGGGGTGAAGGTCCTCACGTTCGGGCTGGGCTCGCCCGTCGGCGCGGGGATTTGCAGTCTCCTGGCCGGGCGCCTGCGCACTCCGTTCGTGTATCTGGCGGCGGCAGGGTCCGTGCTGCAGATCGTGGGGGCCTTCCTCCTCTCCTCGGTTCCACCCACCGTGGACATCTGGCCGGGCCAGTACGGATACATGGTGATCACGGGTCTGGGGACAGGGATTTCCATCGCGGCGCTGTACATGTGTGTGCCGGTGGTGGTGACCACGGATCAAGGTTGGTGTCCTCTAGCCGGAGCTCTAGTGCTTACCACGCACGTTCACTAGTGCTAAAATGCTTTTCTCCGCCGCTAACTAGCTGACTTCGCTTTGCGCAGCAACTGCCATGGGCCTGACGCTCCAAGCGCGCATGATCGGGGCCTCCCTCGGCGTGGCCATCGTCAACACCATCGTCAACAGCATCTTGATCGATTACGTCAAGGGCCATCTTCCGGCAACCGAGGCAGCAGCAGCGGATCCGAACCTGCTCTCCGGGTTTCCGACGGCGACCCAGGAGGAGATTCGCAAGGTCTACGCGGCGGGGTACAATCGACAGATGTACGCGGTTGGGGCGTTTGGAGCGGCGCAATTGATCGCTGTTGCCTTGATGTGGAAGAGGGACCAAGTCCGGTTTGTCAAGTGAACGGGCCACTCCACTCCCCAATCATCTCAGTGCACTTCACTTCAATTCCAATTCTGTTGACGTGATTGAGCCTACTAGTACAGCTAGCTATGTAGGTCTGGCGTCGAAGCAAAGGACCTTCCCGGACCACCCAAATCCTAATCAAAGCAACGCATTCGGACTCCCCTTGAACCCTGTATGTTCCTGCTTGCTCGCGTCTTTCCCGTGACTCCCGGAGTCTGGGGTTCCGCATGCTACATAGCTACAGGTCATCACTCGCAATCAGGCCGCGAAGCACTCGCCCGAACACTTCCTACTTACTAGGTTACGAACGCATCTGTGCTTCTGGATGCCAGAGCTCTTGTTATTCTGTATGTAATGTTGGCCGTTTGCTGAAAAGAAAAAAGATACAAAGAGAAAGACCTCTCAAATTTCAATTCTAGTTACCCTCATGCTAATGACATAAATCACTGCCATCTAATCAACAGAAAAAGAAAAAAAAGAAAACCATAAAAAAGCCACACGTGGTGATTTCGATGTTTATATCACTCCGCCCGCGCGCAACGCCCACCGCACCAACGCCGCAATGCTGCTCGTCACAGCCTCGGTGCGCGGGATCTCATGGCCGCCGCCGTGGTCGTACATCCTGCGTTTCGCCGGGTCGCAGGTCTGCGACAGCTGGATGCCGGCCGAGAGCCGGGGGTCGCGCGCGCCGTACACGTGCACCGTGGGGATCGAGAGCACGGTTTGCGACGGGGTGATCTCCCGCCGGATGTCCTCCTCCGACTCCCTTGTGCCGCCGTTGTTCCCGTTCCACCGCGAGGAGCCCTGCAGCAGGATCGCCGAGGCGTCGGCCTGCGCCGCGAGCGCCTTCCGCGTCAGGATATCCTTCTCCCACACCTGCGGGGCGATCTCGTAGCCGACCTGCTCCATGATGCGCAACGGCGAGCCGGCGCAGATGAAGATCGCGGCCTTGAAGGGGAGGGGTTGGTCGGGCGCCTCGGAGAGTTGGAGTAATGCGAATGTGGACGCTACGGCGGCGCCTTGGGAGAAGGTCATGACGGCGTCGTAGGGCCCATGCGTCGTGATGTGTTGCTGCAGCCGCTGGCGGCAGGTCGCGATCTCGTCGACCGTGTCGTTCTCGTACCAGGAGTAGTAGGGGGGTGCGTAGAAGAGATCAACCCCCGGGGCGGGGTCGGTCGTGTGGAAGCCATCGACAAAGTCCCATTCGATGTTTAGTTCTGACAGGCGCGAGCGTAACGCCGCTGGTTTGCTCCTTGAGTTAATGAAGCGATTCTAGAGAGCAAGGTAGAAAATTGGGAGTGTTAGATAAACTGACCTGTTTGAGACTTGAAGATGGCACCACTGGTGCCTTTGCCATGTAAGCAGAGAAACTTCATCTTTATCTGTTGGTTTGAAAGCAGCAGTGCAGCAGGAGAGAGGCACAATCACGATACTCGCAAGTAGGTCAAGTGAGGGGCAGAGAGAGTTGGAGAGACTGCAAGGCTGCGAAGGTTACGCGAGTCGGCCCCCACCACTGCACGACCACTGCTGCAGGTGTTTGTTGGCGCTCCTGTCGACCTCCGGCGAGGGGATCAATCTGCTTACTGCAATTGGCTCCGAGTCCGAGACCGAAGGACTCCGATTGTAGTTCGGCGACTTCGAGCACAACTACGGAGTACGTTGTGGATCATCTTAGAGAAGGTATGAGCGTGGATTGCACTGTTGTTCGTTAGCCAAGTACGCTGACATTGTATAGAAACTCCGCGGGGTATTTGTAGTCCGAAGGCGTCTTCTGGGCGGTGGGCTGAATTGGAACTAATGGTCATATCCCGGCAGATATATATCAGGTACAACAGGTCCCCCAGAGGGTTTCAGGTTCAAGAATTAATGTTATCCATCTGAATGCTGATATTATTATCTCAGAGTCACACATTGCCTGAGCTTCAAGACCATGAGTCTTAAATCGTTTGTAGAATTGATTAAGTATTTGCGTGCAGTTCATGGATTGAGACCTGAGGAAGTGAAGCTCCAACGCCGGCGTGGTTGGCATGGATAGACCAATCAGCGGACAGCCCGCCGTCATGCGACTCCGCGGCCAAAAAAAATCCCAGCGGGAGCTGCGAACAGAAGCTCGCCTTCCGGTCCAGTTCAGCTTCCACTCGCAGCTTAATACAACACAACAACGACCTTCCCTTCTGCCCTTTCTTCAACTATCGTTTGTGACTTCTACACCACTCAATCAAGCTACCATGGTCGCGCCATCTGCTACCCTGTCCGTTCTGAATCGCGCCGACGGGTCGGCTTCCTACCAGTGTTCTTCGACCGGCTCCAACATTCTAGGCTCCGTCAACGCACCCGTCGAGCTCCCCGGTCGCCGGGACGCCCTCAAGCCCGAAGATGCGACCATCGAAGTCTTCGTCAAGCCGGGCACTGCTCCCGCGGGAGTTGGAGAACGCTACGTGGAGGGAATTCTCAAGACACTGCTGGGGCGAGTGATCCTGGGACGCGAGAAGGGCTATCCGCGTCGTGGGGTGGTCATCACGCTGGCTATCATTGGTGGTGAGAGTGTCGGCAGAGGGGATCCGGTTCGTACTTCTTACCTCCATCAACAGACAGACGCTCTATTGGCTTGGTGGTCATCGACTAACGCAGTGTGATCTGCTTCTTCCGTCCAGTATCTGATTCTGCTCCCCGCGCTCCTCCACACTGCACTTCTGGCTCTCTTATCAGCATCCGTGCCTTTGTCGATGACCTTCTCTGCCACGGTCCTAGCCGTCGACGAGTCGGGGCAGATCCGCCGGGAACCTTCCGCGGAGGATGCAGCCACCGCGCAGTCCGTCCACGTCCTCGCTTTCTCCTCCAAGGGCCATCTGCTGCTGAACGAGAGCCAGGGATCATTTGACTTTGACACGTGGGAGAAGGTGCGCCAGCGCGCCTCGGCCATCTGCCATGGAACACAACTGGTCAGCGCTGACGGCGATGTTGCAATGGCGGAGGATGTTGACGGCCGGCCTCTGGAGGGAACCCTGCGCGAAACTGTCGAGGATCAGGTCTATCGCGACTACAATTGGAAGATCAACGCTGCTTGATCATCGGGCCTACAACGCTACACCGGAAAAATTGCCGATGCCCGTGGATCGGTGTCCACAGATCGATCGCTATTTAAGAAGATTCTCGAATACCCTGAGCTTCAGACTCGATTTTTCCGAACATGTTGACTCCCGACGATTTCTCTCATCGGAGCCGTTCTCACCCAGTATCGCACGGTCGGCTTTTCTAAACGGCACTACTTTCGGCGGCCTAGTGTGCACGGGGCGTCTTGGCGCCCGTCGCAGACAGCAGGTTCTATGGCATTCCATCATGTGGATACGAAGAAGAAACTTGCGTAGGAATCGTCAAAAGCACCGGCGCCGATTATTCAGGACCCTCCGACCTTCCAACTTTCCAAGGCGCGGGGGGGACGTGCATGGATTTGTCCGAAAGTGGAACACGGTGCTGTGACAGGACATCCATTCAGGCAAAAAGCCACGGTGGGGGAAGGGGTGCTGCAGTGCGCTGGGTTCGTATTCTTAGCATCTGACTGGGCTGGATTCAAGAGATGCATGTGGAGCACGCGGAGTTTAGTCAATTGCGAGGTAATCACAGACACATCGCACTGTAGAGAATTTATCCACTCTTGTAAAAAAAAAAAAAGGAGCATTGCATTGCAAATGAATTGTTCGCAGGTTGAGCAACCTAGTTGAAGATAAGACAAGGCACACGCCTCGTTACACATGGGGGGATCTCCGCTTATCTCCAGACAGCGGTAGTGGACAAAAATAGTTACAACATTGCCTGCAGTGTAGAAATTGCCCTTGTCAGCGTGAGTGAGAGGGTGCCGGTTACGGGGTTACAGAACCGCCCGACTTGGCAGGGAAACCAATCCATGATATGATTACAGATTACTGATGACAGATGACACTATATTCCCTGGAAAGATGACACGAGGGAAATTGCTTGTGGAAGCGCATCGAAGGCGACACTACTCCGTAATGTGGGGAGAATTAACTACTAGGTAAAAAGAGTACCTAGTAGCAAACAGACACTGCAGAAAGTTCGTTGGATGGTGTAGCGTGTGCACTCTAGCGTGTCACTCCGCAGGTTCTACAGACTGACTTTACCCCGTCCAAACCCCGTTACTTCCGGACTCGGCCTGGTTTTTCCATCCCGTCCCCATATCAGTAATTCAGTATTATTGTTCCATTAGACTACCAGAACTACTAGTGATTGTTCTAAGACAACTCCCCCCCCCCCTTCCCTCCCAATCAACCCACTTTATCTACTCTCCCCCCCCCCCCCCAAAAGCCTCTGATCCTCTTTGCGACACCTGTCATTCCTCATTTTTTTTTTTTTTTTTTTTTTTTTTTTTTTTTTTCTCTTTGCGACACCTGTCATTCCTCAGCTGTCCATGGCGTCTTCTCCGTCTGACCATGGCCCTATGAGTCTCTCCCAATCATCTCCTAGATCTCCTTGCGCCACGATCCCTCCTTCTGACCCGACTTGCTTGTCCTCACCCTCCGCGGCCCCACCACTATCAGAATCTCCGGTGCGCCCGCCTGTCCAGCGCTCTGCCACCGTTGGGGCCCTGCTCCTGCGCGATTATGCCCTGAATATCGATCCCTCCGAGACCACGAGCGACATCCATACCGATCATTCGACTTCCGGGCCGCCCGAGTGCCGTCGCGAGACTCGCCGTGCGTCGGAGATTATCCGCGAGGAGTCCGTAGTGCCGTCGCTTCCGTCGCCTTCGTTCCTCCACCTGCGAAAGACCGCCGCCTTCTCCGGCCACCAGAGGAACGCATTATCGAGTGATTCCATCCCTCGTCAGACCATTCTTAAAGCGCTCGCCTCCCGACCGTCCATTTCCGCGCAACAGAACCCCAACATGCCGCTGGCGGCGTCTCTGGGGCTCCTCCCTTCCAACTCCCCCAATCCCAACCCCAACACCATTAACTCCTCCGACGAGCCCACGCGCCGCGCCTCGATCAACTCTTCCTCCCAAAAACTGTCCGCTGCCCTGTCCAACCTACAACTGGGAGCCTACCTCGACCGGGCGGCCCCGTCGGCGCGATTGGCCCTGCAATCGCCCTGCTTCTTCCACCAACGCTTCGACGACGCCGTCAACATCCAGAAAGTGCTCGAGGAGATCACCGATGACGAGTGGCTGTCTCACTCGCGGTTGGTGCAGACCGCGACGGGCGTGCGGGAGGTGTCCAAGCAGCTGCAGCGCCGACCGATCAAACGCGCCGTCAAGACCGTCATGATCGTCACCAAGGCGCGCGACAACAGCCTGGTCCACCTCACGCGCGAATTGGCGGAGTGGCTGCTGTCGACGCCACGCTACGGGAACGAGATCGGGGTCAACGTCTACGTGGACGCGAAATTGCGCAACTCCAAGCGGTTCGACGCGCAGGGCCTCCTGGAGAAGGACCCGCGGTACCAGGAGATGCTCCGCTACTGGACGCCCGACCTGTGCTGGTCGTGCCCGGAGCGGTTCGACCTCGTGTTGACGCTCGGGGGTGACGGCACGGTGCTGTTCACCTCCTGGCTGTTCCAGCGGATCGTGCCGCCGATACTCTGTTTCTCCCTGGGCAGTCTGGGGTTCTTGACGAACTTCGAGTTTGAAAACTACAAAGATCATCTGAACGCCGTCATGGGCGATGTGGGCATGCGCGTCAACCTCCGCATGCGGTTCACGTGCACCGTCTTCCGGAAGGACCGGAGCAAGGGCGCCGAGGCCGGGGCCGTCGAGGAAGGGGAGCAGTTCGAGGTGCTCAACGAGTTGGTCATCGACCGTGGCCCGTCCCCTTATGTGTCTAACCTTGAGCTCTACGCGGATAACGATCTCCTAACCGTTGTCCAAGCCGACGGCTGCATCTTCTCCACTCCTACAGGTAAGCCTGGCCTTCCCCCACCCACTCGCCAAAGTATGTCGCGCCGACCTGAAAACTAACTTGTGACACAACAGGCTCAACCGCATACTCCCTCTCAGCCGGAGGCTCCCTCATCCACCCCTCCATCCCTGGCATCCTCCTCACCCCGATCTGTCCGCACACCCTCTCCTTCCGGCCCATGGTCCTCTCCGACACCTCCCTCCTCCGCATCGCCGTGCCCCCCGGATCCCGCTCGACAGCGTACTGCTCCTTCGACGGCAAAGGTCGTGTGGAGCTTCGGCAGGGCGACTACGTGACCGTCGAAGCGAGCCAATACCCCTTCCCGACGGTGGTGTCCGGCAGCGGGGAGTGGTTCCAGAGCGTGCAGCGCGCGCTGCGGTGGAACACGCGCGGGGCGGTGCAGAAGAGCTGGTCGGCGGCGGTGCTGGACGGGGCAGACGAGTACGGCGAGGAGGGCGAGGACGAGGAATGGGACATCGACACCGACGCCGGGCTGGGCTGGACGGACAGTGGGCTGGGACCCAGTGAGGACGGGGACGCGGGGTCCACCAGTCCGATGAAGCGGCAGATGAGCATGCTGAGCATGTAGCTGCGTCTCCTTATGTCTTACTCCTCATCCTCTCATGGAGCGAGCCCACCGGCAGAGAACGGTGACATTTGAGTTTCTTGGTTATTGGGCGTTGGTTATACTTTGGTCAGACAACGGGATACACACGGACCAATTCCTTCTCGGGGTTTATTTCTATCGGTGCCAGAGCGAATGTGGTCTGATTGATATAGCATATATATTATAGACTTGGGATTAATTTCTTTGCTTGTCCCGGAGGACGGGCAGAGATTGATGAATGCATAGACTTTGACAGAGTCCCCATGACTGGTGATTTCCCCTTTGCTGACAACTAAGATACTGCATATATACCCAGAAGCTCTATAACCAGCTCTAAACCCATCCGATCATACCGTATACTCTATACCCTCGATCCTCAACCTAACCCCAGAGCCAGACAGACCCCACGGTAAATCACCAATCACAGCACTCAGCCAACAACCCCGCCAGCTCCTCCAAGTATTTCTTATCTGTCTCATCGAAACCCGAAGGCTCCGTGCAATCGACATCAATAATCGCGACCGTCTACCAACAAATCCCGGTTAGCCCAAGTTCCCACCCTCGACTCCAAATCCAACCCCACACCCAGATGCTAAGAGAATCTTACCTCCCCCCCCACAAGAATCGGCACGACAATCTCACTCCGACTGCTCGCGTCGCAGGCGATATGGCCCGGGAACTCCAGCACGTCCGGCACGACGACGGTGGCGCGGTCCTGCGCGGCGGTGCCGCAGACCCCCTTCCCGAAGCGGATCTCCTGGCACGCGGGGCGGCCCTGGAAGGGGCCGAGGAGGAGTTTGGGTTGCACGGTGGTCGCACCGGTGGTGGTGGTGGTGGTGGTATCCTTGGACAAGGCCGGGAACTTGTCGCTGCGGATGTAGAAGCCGGCCCAGTTGACCGACGACGAAGGGGCGGGGAGGGCGGCGTAGGCGTGCCAGAGGAGGGAGGCGACGTTGGAGAAGTTGCTGTTTCTTTTAGTATCTTCCTTGCGGGAGGTGGAGGTGGAGGTGGTGGTGGAGGTGGAGGTACCTGACCTGTTGATAGGTTGTATGGTTAGTGAGGTCTCAATTCAATGGAGGAACGGGAGGCAGTACCCAGTTGCGCTGGTCGTAGACTAGGCCGCGAGCCTGTTCGAGGACCTGCGTGTAGACCTCGTCTTTGGAGGCGTTGGGGCCGAAGAAGGAGGAGTCTGCGTGAGGCTTGAGGGCTATTAGTTTATGCTTAAGGTTGCGCAAGGCGTCGGGAAAGGCGGGATCGAAACCATGGTGAGGGTCTGGAACTGCACGACCGTTATGCTGGTGGGGTGGAGTGTGTTTTGGTCAAATTGACTGTGAATGATTATACAGCGATGACGCTGCAGCAGAGGTGAGTGAGGGGAAAAGAAAATCCCAAGTGGGGATTTTTGGAGTGCCGAGCCTGAGGAGGAGCTGAGCCCACGCCCACTTACCGTGTTAGGCAAGTCCTTCCACGGACCCCTCTACCGGCATGGCTTATCGCGATAACCACCGTCGTGATCTAGAACTAGAACTAGAACTAGAACTATAACTATCGCTTCAACTGTCTATCTAGCTACACTCCCAACTTCAATTCACCTTCATTCCGCCGTCACAATGCACCTGACCTTCTCCCTCCTCGTCTCAGCAACAGCAACAGCAACAGCAGCAGCAGCCCGAGAAATCATCTTCCCGCCCATTGCCGCCGTCCACAACCGCCCCTCCAGCCAGTACGCCTTCCAGAGTGACATCGACGTCAACAAAATCGACATTGTGACAGGTAGTCAATTCTCCGGACTCACCACATTCGCCAACCTCCCGTACGCGAACTGCTTCGTCGAAGATGGGTCACTAACATACGATATCGCCTTCCTCGGCGCACCTTTCGACACCGTTCGTCCCCCCTCCTCGGCGTCTCCTCTCATTGCCCACCAACTCACAAAACCAGGCAGTGACAGGCCGCCCCGGCGCCCGCTACGGTCCCCAGGGCATTCGGCTGGGCTCGCGGCGCCTGGGCGGTTACGACATCTACACGGGGGAGAACGTGTTCGCCAGCTGGGCGAAACTGGTGGACTGCGGGGATGCGCCGTTGACGTGGTTGGACAATACGGTGGCGCTGAAGCAGTTGGATCTGGCGCATAAGGTTCCCTTCCGTTGATCTCCTCAAAGCTACAAAGATGAAGGTTGACTGATCAAACGATGTGGTAGGTCGTCTCCTCGCGCGGCACCAACACGACGACCAAGGGCCAAGTACCGCGCATCATCACGCTGGGCGGGGACCATACCACGACGCTGTCGGCGCTGCGGTCGACGTACGAAAAATGGGGGCCTGTGTCGGTGATCCATTTCGATAGTCATATCGGTATGCCTATCCTAGAGCACCAATGATAAAGTAAAACACAAAAAATGGAGCAAGCTAACATCAAGGTACGGAATCTAGATACATGGGACCCGGAAGCACTAGGTACATCCTCCCCTTCCCCCCCCCCCCCCCCATTCTCTCTGTCAACACAACCCAGCAAGAACTAATTCCAACAAACCCAGGCGGAGGAATCTCTCACTACGCGTTCGTACCCGTCCCCCTTCCCCAACACACCCAACCCCCTAACCGGAACCCAGAGGCGTCAACCACGGGACCTTCCTCCATCTCGCGCACGAAGAGGTAATCAATCCCCCTTCACCTCCCTACCCCATCACTCTCTTCCCCCTCACTCAAGAGCCAACTAACAAAGACAAGGGTCTAATCCGCAACACCTCAATCCACGTCGGCATCCGCGCGCCCGTCACCCGCCCGCGCGGCGCCGACCTCCGCAACGACCTCCGCTGCGGCTTCGAGATGATCAAGGCGCGCGACCTCGACCGCCTGGGCGTGAGCGGGGTGATCGAGCAGATCAAGGCCCGCGTCGGGGACAGCCGCGTGTACATCTCCGTCGACATCGACGTGCTGGATCCGGCGTTTGCGCCTGGTGCGTGCCACCCCACTCCCCTTCCTTCCTTCCACTTCTCTTCCGTCCAGTAAAGCAAGGTCCCCAGGAAAAAAAAAGGGTAAAATAAAAAACCCGGTTAAAGTTTAAAACTGATTTTTCGTGGGATTGACAGCAACCGGCACCTCCGAACCAGGCGGCTTCTCGACCCGCGAGCTCCTCTCCATCCTGGACGGGCTGCGCGGGCTGCCCGTGATCGGCGCGGACGTTGTGGAGGTGGCGCCCATCTATGACTCGGCGGGCGAGACGACGACGCTGGCGGCGGCGGAGGTGGCGCGGGCGGTGCTGGCGCTGATGATCGCGGTGCCCGTTGAGGGGACACCTGTCGAGATCGGCGTATAAGCGCTTGCGTCACGGTATACATATGGCCAGGGAAGACGCGATGATCGCTTAGATATAAAGATAAAGAGACAGCACTGCGCCGGGAATTAAAGTTAGAAAGGTGGAGTATATAATATACGAGTGTGGAGTCGAGCATTGCATGACATAGTTATCTCCGGTGTTGATATCATAGTGAAACCGAAACATTGAACGAAATCTGAGCAAAGGATCTATACCTTTTTGCGATTCATCATGTCAGCTACAGTTTCATGCACTTCACTTACTACACAATATACGGCAGACTTGAAACAACACCCTGCACCTCCCAAACCACCCATAACCACAGCATACAACCAGACAAGAGAGTATAGAAAGAACTCAAGAAAAGAATCTATTATATGTCCCTCCTCGACCCCAAAACCCCAATCCAGCTCCCAAATTCCGGATCCCCAAACCCCATAACCGGAGACAATAAATACATTCAGAATCCCAAAACCCTCGCTAACCAAGAACGCCACCCTTTTCTTTCTCTCTGCCTTCCCTCTTGTCACGCAATCCCCACTCCATTCCTCCCCCGCCCACACCCCCTAAGAATGACCCAGATATCACCACGAAAAACTCTCCTCATACAAATCCACCCTCAGCCCAGGCCCACCCCCATCACCAGCACCCTGACACTCCCTCACCGTCCGCCGGACATCATCCCCCATCGCCCCGGGCCCACAGATACTGACCGCCATGGCACCCACCTGGCGCGCCATCTCCGCCCGCAGTATCTCGTCGAAGCAGGGTTTACCGGTGTGGATGGCGACGGGGACCGAGGACGGGGCCACGCTCGCCCAGGGGGAGCATTCCACTAAAAAGTCCTCGGGGCTGCTGGTGTCGGAGCGCGTGGGGCTGGCCTCGCTGCCGCTACTGGTCGTGCTGCCGATACTCGCCGCCGAGGCGGCGGTTTTGCTCACGTAGATTTGGATGCCCAGGAAGAACTCGGGGAACTGGAAGTAGGACTCGCGTTTGCGGAGGGTGGCCATTTGCAGGGCGGGGTGGTTGAGGAGGGAGGTCATCCAGGGTTGGATCCAGGAGAGGTGGTCTTTTTTTTTTCTTGTTAGTTGGATGGAGAGAAGGAGAGGAAGGAAGTGAAGGGAAGGGTCAAAGGGGTGCACGCACCTAAACTCCTCACTACCCAGACCAAGGTGACGCGGCGGACCGCCTGGGTCTGCGAGGTGATGTTGGTCACGAATTCATGGAGGTACGACATTGGGTGGGTGATGCCGATGCCGCCGGCGATCAGGAGGACGGTGCCGTATGAGGCCAGGGAGTGGAGGCCGCCTATACACAGTAAGTAAGAATCACGCAGATGACACAGTAGGACGAGAAGGTGAAGGTGAATGTACCGAACGGCCCCTCCGCCAGCGCGGTCGCTTCGAAGCTCCCGTCGCAGGACTTGTGCACCTTCGACAGCAGCTTCCCCGTGAACCCGTCGCGGCGCTTGATCAGGAACGACATGGTCGTCTGCTGCGGCCCACCGAGTAGCCGGTTGATCGAGTCGTTGGAGCTCCGCTTCTCGGTCGGCAGAATGCTGCGGTCCGAGGAGGTCCAGGCCACGGAGAACGGGTGCGAGGTCCACAGCCCCAGCGAGGGCAGGTACAGGTACATGTACTGGCCCGCCTTGAAGGTCCAGGGGCGGGCGAGCGCGACATCCACGCGGGCGACGTCGCCCGGCAGCAGCTCCACGGTGGCCGTCGTGCGTTGCTTGCCGACGTTGCGCCAGAGGATGATGCCCAGGCGGGTGGCTCGCTAGACACAGCAGTGTTAGTTGGAATAGCTCTTGGAGAACAGTTGGAGCAGTTAATTACAAAGAGGGTGGCTTACATCAAATCCCCAGAGGATCAGCGTAACTAACAGCGCCGTCTGCTGCGACATGCCACGCAGATGGTACCAAAGCCCCACCATGGACGCAATGGCCAACAAGATATGCAAATGCAGGAACGCTTCGTAGAAGGCATGTCGGAGAGGCGAGATGGACTGCACAAGGATAGCCGCAAATGCGATAAAAGCCTTGCACATGTTAGTGATCCTCTCCTCACAACCAAAAGCGAATCCTACTTACCGTCATACCATAGACGAAAAACGGTGTGTGCCAGACAACCTGTGTCACAGCAGACAAACTACCCACTATAGACTGATAGTCAGCGAGTGGTTCACGTCCGTATCGAAGATAGAAATATGACTTACACTCCTTCTGTCGAGGGACGATCGCCAAGACAACATGCACAATCGAGGCCGCAACAACCAAGCGCCCGGCCCAACGATGAATCAGATTGAAAGTATCAAACTTGATGCCCAGCAGCGGAATCAGCGGGTTGTTGCGACCCGCCGCGAGGATCAACCCGGGCAAATTCAACACCGCCAGCGTGCCACTCGTATACTGAAGCTGGTACATCACCTCCCCCCACTCGGCCCACCAGTCCACCGTCGCGAAGAAGAACCCCACGTTCAGCGCAATATACACGGTCAAAAGAATCGCCTCCAGTCGCAGTGGGATGATCCCCATGTGGCAGCGCCCCACCCGGAACTCGCGACTATGCCGCGTCGACAGCAGCGGCGCATAGAAGACATGTTTGTTGAGCGCGGCGGACAGCGCATCGCTCCGCGCATATCGGTCCTGATCGTCGTCTTCGCTCTCGAGTATCCGACGTAACCGGCGTCGATGTTGTAACTGTGTGTACAGGTTGCTGACGAAGAGCACGAACACTCCACCGGCGAAAATGAAGATCGGAGTCGCCAAGGAGACTTTCATGGGGGGATGAACATTTCGAAGCCGCGGTTGGTCCGGGTCATGGTAGTCTACCCCCATTTTGCTGTAGCTGTAAAGGTCGCCGTGTTGAAAGATTTGAAATGTCCTTAGATGTGCGTGGGGTGGGTGGGTGGGTGGGTTGTGTGTGCTGGAGAGGGGAGCAGAGATTGGAGAGCGTATGCGCACTTTCGCCAGGAAACAAGCGAAAGGCCTCAGATTAAAGACCAGTGCTCAAACCGGGAAAGCGCCGGTAGCCCCTTCTACATATACCAGCACTGGCAGTTGTGATTCTAGATCCATCTCCATCATGACGTGCAAGCGGCTGCATAGGGCACACCTCTTCATAACTATGCCGTCATCCATCGCTCTTTGCGCATGGGGGGAGGGAGAGCCATTGTATGTGCGATGATACCGTAGAAAGCGAGCAGCAAAGCAGACTCGGACGGCCGTCTCGAGACTCGGCGCTTTCATGCAACGGAAATGCATCGCAGCAGAGTCCAGCTGCGCAGAAAAGGCATTGCAACCTCAGAGGCCAGTGTGGGGGTTTAGATGACTTTCCGTGGAATGTGTGCCTCCTTCCCCTCCCCTTGATTCGTCGGGAGGAAAGTTCAAGGACTGCTGGACCTGGCATAGTCGACAGGTACGCACACCCGGCAGATTGCCCGGTTAACCTTAACCTGCTTAGCCCGCCCAGCAAGACTTGGGTCTGCAAGCATTTGGCATCCGTCAAAGGTCTGTGGATGAAACAGAAGCGTGTGTTTGCGGGGCGATGGAACGGCAGCGCCGAAAACGGAAGGGAAATATGCGTCTCTGCTGCATCCGCCCTACCGGACCCTTCCCAAAACCCCCCCCCCCCCCAGTACAGCTCTGCCTCTGCTGTCGCTTCAATGCAGGTTTTCTGCTGCTGGTATCCAAGCGGTGTGGTCGTTATGACGTTCAGGCTGACGACAATTGACGACAAGGACCTGTCACAACCCGTCCATCCGAGCTGAAAGGGGTGTTTTTCAGTACACAAATGTATCTCTCCAAATCACCAGTGATTCAACCAACCCCAATCTGTCCCGAGGTTAGACACGCCGTCTATGGTAGTAAAGGCCCATAGTAGAGTTTGAGACAGCTAAACTTACCAGCTCGTGGTGCTGGTTGCAGCCCCTTGCGGGTGGATCGAGGGCTGCCCGCATCCCTAGGGTAGGAGTACACAGGCTGAGAGCAAATCAATTGACGTCATGCGATCGAAGCACAGTCGATAGGTAGCTCAATGACACAACGAACAGCAGCGCCGATCTTCCTTCGATCAGGTAACATTATTGCATCGTGCGCGCTGTCTTTGGCGTGGAAGCCATTGTAACGTCGGGGACGGCAGGTGCATTGTTCCCTCCCGCTTAGGGCAACCGCCGCAGAAACCTCATGTCATCATGACTAGAAAGAGACTTAAAAGAGGCAATGTCTAGACCTCAATCGACCAGTCCAGCTTCGATGCCACGGTGGTTTTTCGTCCTCATAGGCAAGAGGGAGTGTGTCGCTAAACTTGCTATCCTGAGCAGTGGGCTTGTGCTGTCATCGCTGCGCCTACCGATGACAAGTGCGGTCAAGCAGAGCAGAGCATTGCGACAAGGAAAAATCAGCAAGGAAGCGGAGAAGATATCCAGACCAGAATTTGTGTACGATGAGATGTTGGTACGGCACACTCGAACATCTCCATTGAACGTAGTTTGCCACTTTCCGGAGAATTATTTGACTTTGCCGTTCAATCTCGACCAGAGGATTTGACACAGCGACAATAAGCCTGATGTCTCACCACGAAAGGCAGTACCTGAGCCCCCATAAAACATGCTCACATTGTATTCCCTGCGTGGGTTGGTTACAAAGTCAAATAAGAGATCGCGATCCGTGTGTCCCGCATGCTCCAACAATCAGGAAAAATGCCAGGGGAAAAGCGGGAAAACATGAAGCCAACCTGAACTCGACATCAACCCAACGCCATTATTCACTGTTGTACAGATAATCTATGAAATGACGACGTCCAAGAAAAACGTGGCCGCGGCCAAGATCTTCAAGTCGCGTTAGGGCACTCAATATGTCGTAAGAATGAAGTGAGTATTAAGCATTATGGAGAAACAAGAACTGCGATGAATTGTGTGCCTTGATCGGTTGGATCCCAAAGAACGGGGAGGTATTGATTGCGTAACCCGAAAAAACAGACTCCCGGCACTGAAGTACCCCCCATTTCATTTATCCCTGCAGGGAAGCGATGTGCGCCATTACAACTGAACAAGAAAGCATGTACATGTGGTATTGAGTCGACTGAAGGGCCAATCGTGGCCAATTCGTGAGATGTAACGTAACGGTGATATTGTAGAAAGCTTGTATTCAGAATTCAAACTCCCATAATTCGGTGACTGCCTGGCTCCAGGCTGCAGCCACTGCCATCATGGATAGACAACAAGCTTCGGGGAGGAGATCTAGCACACTCCCGGGGCACGTGGCAGTCAAGCCCGTCTCGAGCGCCTTTTCTTCTTCTTCTCCTTGACCTGCTTGGCTCTGCTCTTCTCCTCCCGAACGGATGAATAGTCCGCCACGTCGACACCGGCGCTATGGCATAAGGATGTGCATTCATTTTCAATCACCTTCACAATCTGAGGAGTAAAGCCGTAGAATGCGGGGTTGTAGGCATTCCGTGCCCAGTACATCAGTTCAGAAGCGACTCGGCCCAGGTTGGGAATGGACTGAGGCGAAACTGCCGGCTTCGGGGAGAAGCGGGGTTTGTCGTCAGCTTCGTCATCGGAGCAGAGCGAAGATGGGGTCGAGCTTCTGGACGCGGGGGAGGAGGGGGATGATTCAGAAGAAGACAAGTAATCCGTGTCCGAAGCAAGAACATGCAACAGATGGTAAACCGAGGCAAAGCCAATTAGAGTCAAATCGACAGGATCGAGTGGGAGCTGATTGAACCATGTGATCGCTTTCTGGATGGTGAAGGATGCGGGGAGAGAGGTGTCACCCGTGGTTCGTGCCGTGAAGATGGCCGCAATCATGGCACAGCGGACGGATATGGCGATCTCATCCCGCACGGAGACCGGAAGTGACGAATCTAGGAAGTTGGAGACTTGACTCTGCTGGCTCTTTCCTTTGTCCTTGGGCAGCGCTGCCAGGACGGCTCCGATGTTGGTAGCACGGTCATGGTCGAAAAACACCGCTTTCATGACTAAAGCGCGGGTATGAGCGGCAGATGGCTGAGGAGCAACGTCCAGAGCGATCTTGATCTTGGCTTTGAACAAGTCACGGCTCTTCTTCGCATCGGGCCCTCCAGAGCTAGCCTCGAAGTATCGGAGCAGTGCTCGCTGCAAGAGGTGGCTTGACCACCAGGCGGCAAGAGCGTCGAGGGAGGACCGAATCGCAGGATCTTCCTCCACAACATCCAGAAGGGCCTCGTCATCGTCGGCTCCCTCTTGCGTAGGGCGGTTCCATGTAAGATTCGCCGCACGTTGGACAACAGTGTCGATCATGACCTCATCACAGTCGAGCTGCAAGAGGGCAGCCAAATGACTCGGCAGGGCCTCTGGATGGTCTTTTGGCATGGCGGCGTGCATCTTGCGGGCAAGATCCCACTGGTAGCCGGCCAATGATCGTGCGACATCATTGGAGATGTGGAAAGTCCATGATCCGGGAACACCGACTCGCCACAGAAGGATGCGGCAATGTAGCGCCTTGAGCATCATCCGCATTGGACTGCGAGGCAGGGTTCCTGCAGCGAAGATGGTGAGTACTAACCTACTCTTGCTGATTTCGGGATCTCCCCCAGCCAGTTGCGCATCGATGGCGATATCCCATGACTTCACGCGGCCCTTGTCGTCCTCCACGGTAACCCCGGTGATGGAAGAGTAGAGTTTCCAGCCCAGAAGACAGCGCAGCACATACTCGAAGCAGCGCGAGGTGACCACGTACCACTCATGGAAGAACCGATGACGCGGCACACCGACTTGCTGAATGCTCGTTAACCACGCTTGACGGCGGAAGTTTGATGACGATAGCGTTGCATCGGACATGAATGCAGTCTTGGACGAGCCTGGTTGACTTTTGGGCCCAGCATTGAAGAGGTATACAAACACCACAAAGGCACTACCAACGACCAGAGTTGCGAGGATAAGGAAGTGCGAGATGGCCCTTGCGTGCCACGAGTACCAAAAGCTGCGAGCCATTGCCATCCAGTACTTGACGGTCGGATTTTGCAGGCTGTTCAACAAATTGACGGGAAGCGCCAGCAGTCCCTTGGCGGTGGAATCGGTCTCTTTGTCGCTACCCATACCCTCAAGAACCATCAGACCAGCAAGAGCGCCGAGCATGTATTTGTTGGGGTAGTAGGAGCGGCTGCGACCTCCGCCACCCTGGGTGGGCCTATTGCCGTTGCTGTTGCCGTTGCTACTGGGATATTGCATGTAGGACTGGGAAAAGGCGCTGTTTTTGGCAGCTGCTTCGTCTCGAAGGCGCTGGAAGGCATCTGGTACCTTCATCAACCCCTCGGGGGGATGCAGCGTTGTAGGAGAGTGATCACTCGGCGAATCTTCAACCTGTGAGAACACGCTCGGGGATGAACTTGCCCCAGACTCGGTATAGTTACTGGGCGATGAGACAGAAGCGGTGGATGTGATCATTTGTTCCGCAGCCTTATCTGCTAGACGAAGTCGGTTCTTGAGGGCTGTGTTTTCCTCTTCAAGTCGTTTGTTGCGGATCTCCAGGTGGCGAATATACTCTGTTGCCTTCGATAGGATGGAAGCCTTGTTCAGTTTGCTGGCAGGGGTGACACCCTCGCCTTCGTCATCATCGATGATGCTGCCGGCCGCATTTTTCGAGGCTCGCAGGCTGGGGACGCTGTCTCTCAATTCGGCGATCTTTTCGTTGAGGTTGGCTCGGTACCGCTTTTCGATAACATTGTGTGCTCGTTTCTTGGCGGGCATTTTCTTGCCCGGTGGCCCGACGCCGCTCACGGTTGATCCGTCGTCGTCACTGCCTGACTTGCGTTTGCGGGTGATTCCGTCCGGGGATAATGGTGAGCCCGCTGCAGTCGACAGCGTAGATGGCATCTCGGCTCCACTCGAGTCGCCCTTGGAGTTGGTCATACTGTTGTACCCTCGATCGAAGAAGGAGTCAAACGGGAGGTTCGTGCAGTCGAGAGAGATGTCGGGGGAGAATTCGGGTTTGTTGAAGAAGGCGGTGCTTGGATTACCGGTTGATGTGTTTGGTGAGGTGAAGGCCAGATCGAACGGTGATTGGGAGAGCTCTTTGACTCCCTCTGCGAAGCCTTGATCATCCCATCTCATCCATTGTGTCCAATCTTGAGTGGCTTCGTCCGTGGTGGAGGATGGGGCAAAAGACATTGACTCGGCCTGTGAGTCTCTGGAGTTTCTCTTGTTGGTGTTAGGGGAGAAGAGCTGGAAGTCGCTCCCCATGCTGGGCATTGCCATCTTGTCCAGCGGCCAGGGCCGGGACCATGAATTGCAAGTGGTCAGTCAAAGCACGGCAATATTCAACCGCGAGCGGGGCTTCCAAGCTATTGCCTGAACTCGAGTCAGTTTCTAATACGGACAGTCGACGACATGGGCGACGACGAGGTCATGGATGTTGACACTGTTTGAAAGGGCATACCTGAGAAGGGTGTGGTCAGGAGCCGGCTAGGTGCGGAAAGAAGTCGCGTAAGGCGACCAAGTTAAACCAGCGTTAATCAACCTTAGATTGCGAACAGTGGAGCAACCCAAGGACAATCGGTGATGGTGATGGTATAATGAAGACAGTAGGGACAGTCGAAGGTGAAATCCAGCATTCTACTGAGTACGATAGCGCGGGGGGGGGGGGGGGGGAGGGGGGAGGAGGTTCGTCGGGAAGTTGCAGAAGACAGGAAGGTGCGTAAGGGTGGATGAAGATCTGACTAGCAGAAACCCCGTGAATGTCTGAACATGTGCAGGGGCGTTTCTTCTCCTTCGATCTTATCGAGCGAGCGGTTGAGAAAAGGGAGGGGCGCAGCGGGTTGAGGCGCGATGAGTGGTTCGAGGAAGTTTGGTCCCGGTGGGACAAAATTTTGACCGGATCCTCAGTTGGTGCCTGGTTTTACTGATTGATAAAGACGACGGGCGATCACTGCTGGGGAAGGAGGTTGATTCGGGGCAACTTGAGGGGAGGTTCTAGAAAGATCAATGATATCGTGATCGAGGATAGAGAGGCAAATTTGAAGGACACATGACTGATAGAGTTGAGTATGCAACGACAAGCAAAGAGCAGCAGAATGGATGTTGGATGGATGGATGGATGGATGGATGGATGAATGCATGGATTGCATGGAAAGAACTGACTGACTGACTGAGAATCTCGGCCAATGTTCGGTGGAGGCCAGTCCCAAGTCGTATGATCGCGGGCCACGCCTCTTCCGGCAAGCCGACCCCAAAGGGGCAATTTTTCTCAATACAGTACGTAATTTTGCTCCGCTGACAGAGCGGACGGGGCGGAATTGGTCAAATTACCGTCACAATGGTGTATTCGAAACTCGTCGCCTCCCTGTCTCGGCTATATTTGGCAAGCCTCCCAACGATCCATGATCAATGATCATGGATTGCTCAATCCATAAGGAATAACTTGAGAACTTTCTGTACAGCTAGCTGCCTCTTGCAAGAATTGACGATCGCTGAACATCCTATCTACTCGCTACAGGCACAATTGAATCTCTCATCGAACAAGGCCCATCTCAATCCGAGAAATCCTTCCAACCCGATCAGCCCAGGTAACCGCGCTAATACCGGTCCGATGCTCAGCCCACCTTTTTTTCCATAACGATCAATTCAACTTCTCCAAGGGATAGAATCCGGAAAAGGGGTCCTATTCTGGCAATTTCTTGCTGAGAGACTGTCCTCGATTTCTTACTTGCATCGTATCAGCTACCTACGACCTAAGTTTGAGGAACTGAATCAACCCCACCATCGAGGAGCGGGGCTGCCACAGCCTGGGACAGTCATGGCATAGATATATACATCTAGCAGTAGGGATGGGCTCAACTGGACGCAAACCATCACGCTTTAAGGTTCAATGACCTTTCTGTAATTGCAGGAACGATACGGCGGGTGATGGGCTCCGCTCGCGTGGAGCTAGTCTCGAAGATTGGATTTTATGCTCTACATTTTGAGGAGTTATTCTCGGAGAGAACTGTTTACGCCTACCGATACTGCACACAAGTACGCATCGATCCTAGGAACCATTCGACAGTGCAATTGCTGTCATTGCCGTCGTAGAAGCAAGCGTCATTGTCGAAGATATTGCGTAGAAACAGTCAATGGGACCCATCGGGCTAAAGTGGAGAGGAAACCCATCGCTGCAGGTGCTGGGCCCTTAGACAGTTCATTTAGATTGCAAGAAGCGCACGTATGGGGTTCAACGAGAGGAACTGTAACCAGAAGGTATCCACAGACTTGTCCAGGCTGGGTCAACTTTTACCCTGCCTGGCCAGACCGACACCTTCACCTTCACCGCCAGTAATGGTCTACAATTGAACCCTAACGCAAGCAAAGGACCAAACATGAGCGCCCTCTGTATTTTTACGCTAGGAAATATGTACACCTGTTCTAAAAATCTACTTACAGTGCCTTCTCCACCTCTGCCATCTTACCCATCACCTCCTGCACCGTGACCTTAGCCCCCTGGGCAGGCTCCTCGTACGGGGTGCGAGGCTTCAGTTTCTCCTCCGCACCCTCAATCCCCGCTGCCACCGCCGAGAAGACGGCCGTGGCGTATTTGGTGGACGCGATGCCGCTCTTGCACGGCGACTCCGCCAACGCCGCCTGCCGCTGCAACGCCAACGCCTCGTCGACCTTGCCCTCCACATACAGCTTGTAGACCCGCGCGGCGGTCTTGGGGAAGACGTTCGCGAAGGCCGCAATGCACCCGGCCGATCCGACCGCCAGCCCCGCCAGCAGGAAGTCGGACTGTCCGCCGAACACGGCGAACTGGTCCTTGGAGAACGTGGCCGCCAGCCGGGTGATCTTGCCGACGGACGCGCAGGTCAGTTTCACGCCGACCACGTTCGAGACGCCCGAGGGGCTCTGCGCCTCAGACTCCCGGACAATCGCCGTGATGGTCTCCGAGTCGAGATCCACCCCATTGCACACGCCGGGGAAGTTGTACACCACGACGGGGAGGGCGGATTGACGGGCGACGTCGGCGAAGAACCGCTTCACGACGGCGGGGGTGGTGGCTTTGCCGAAGTATGCCGGGGGCAGCACCAGCAGGTAGTTGGCACCCGCGGCAGCCGCGTCGGAGGCGAGCTCGAGGACTTGTTTGGTGGAGTGGGCGCCCACGCCGGCCATGAGGGGGAAATCAGGCCCCACGGCTTCGCGGGCGGCGGCAATGCATTGGTATCGTTCTTCGCGGGTAAGGAGGAAAGCTTCGGAGTTGGTGCCAAGGATGACGAGTCCGGCCAGACCTGTCGTCGACAGATATTTATAGTATTGTTTCTGGGCAACCAAGTCAATGGTGTCGGTCGCGTGATCGAAGAAAGTCACGGCTGGACACCAGACCCCTGCTGGGGGGATATGGGGCTGGGCGGTCACGTTGGGGTTGGAAGTGGAGCCCATGTTGACGTCAATCGGCTCAATTCTGCGGAACTCGGGGATGACTCAAAAGACGGTGATGATGATGAAACTTTGCTGATTCTCATTTTGGAGGAATTAGAGCGCATTAGTCGCTTAAGTAGTGATGGTGAATGCGGGGGGAGGGAAAAGAATCCGGTCGGGATCCGATACCGAGTTCTTATCAGCGGGGAGAGATTCCGAGTAGGGAGAGAGAGAGAGAGAGAGAGAGAGAGACAGAGAGAAGATAGGGAAGGAAATGAGGAGAGAAGGGAGGAGATTAGATAGACTAGACTAGCTCAACAGGAAAATCCGGGGTAAGGTAGGATAAGAATACTAACAATGAAGCATTTAGAGAAACCCCTTGAATCTTCTTTCCCATTCAATTTTCCCAACCCTTTCTCCTTTTCTTCTTTCTTTCTTTCTTTTTTTTTTCTTCTTTTTCCTCTCAAATTTTTCCTCCCCGTGACCTCCATCCATGGCACTTGTTTTGAGCGTCACGTCACTTGACCCATGAGTCAGATCGACAATTCGATGGTCTCATCGCCGAATCAGGACCGGTTATTGGCTCACACCGCCGTTGGTCACGACGAGCTTCCTCTTGGGGATTCTCATTACGTCTTCAAAAAGACTGCAGGCTGCAAGGCCAACAGCCACTGGCCTAGGCATGAATAATGGGAATTCGAATATGCCTCATAATCCCCTTCTCCTTTATTCCATTTACGAGTTTGCATTCCACTTCTTCCACTTGTTCCACAAATACCCCGCATAAAAGGTAAAAGGGGGTTCAATGCGTTTCCACCTCTTGTTCCCCAGATATTTAACTGCCAATGCCCCCGTGGTACTGGTGGATGGATGAGAACAGGCAAACACAGACGTGTAATCCCGCAACCATGCAAGCACCGCAAGAGATTTACGATCTGGTAAGTGATGTGATGCAGTGCACCTCAGCCGAGACCTCAGCCGAGTCGCCTGAATGCTAAGTGCAATCAATGCCTCATAGATCGTGTCCTTTGTGGATGACGTCGATAGCCGGCCGTGGGCCGCTTCGACACGACAACACAAGATTCAATCCGACGAGCTTCGACATCAACTCGCGACGTTACGCCTGGTCAACCGCGCCTTCTGTCGCAGCGCCTCACCGCGACTGTTTCGACACCTTCGCGTCGTCGCCAAATCCGCCCAGTCCAAGACCTCGGAATCGCCGCTTGTAGGCCTCGTAGAGCTCTCGCACGGCCCCTATGCCGACTACGTGCGCCAACTAGACATCGGGCTCGAGGACACCGAACACTCGGAAGAGTTCTGCTCGATGTTCCTGGAAGATTTGGCAGGGGTGCTGCCCTCCTGCCTGTGCCGGCTGCCCAAACTCAAGGCGCTTGATTTCCAGGGGGTCCCGGGCTCGTTACCCGAGGCTACCACCCGAGACTTTGTCAACACCGTCATCAGCAGCCTCCGCTACGTGCCACTGCCGAACTTAACCGAGCTGGACATTGCCTTCCCCATCACCCACGATTTCGCCCAATTCTTCCCCCACAAGACCCTCAGCTCCAGCGCCCTGCGCATCTCCACCGAACACGTCCTGCAGCGCCTGCACCACCTGGGCCTCCGCATCACCGCATCCCCCACCGAGCACCCGCAGCCACAGCCACAGCAACATGAATCCCCCTCTCCGCCGCCCGCCGCGACCGTACACACCCCCGGCTTGTCGAATCAGGCCCACGCCCACTGGCTCTACAAGATGATCCGTCACGCCAGCAATCTGAAGTCGCTCGCCATCGCCAGCGCAGACACCCTGGATCTGGACGGGGCTGCTTTCAGCCGCTCCCTCCGCCTGGAATCCATCCAGCTGCGCCGGGTGTCCATCTCGTCCTACAAGCTGCTGTCGCTGGTCGAACAATGCAAGGACTCCATCCGACACATCGAGCTCTACCAGGTCAAGCTGAACTCGGGCGAGTGGCAACATGTGCTGTCGCGCATGACGCATCTGCCCGGGCTGGTGAGCTTCGTGATCAAGTCGTGCGGATACTCGTCGACGGGCGCGGGGGCCACCTACTACAACCCGCATGGCTCGTCGGGGGCGGTGATGAAGACGACGAACTCGACAGAGATCCTGGCGCTGGGCGCCTTGCACCGTCGGGTCCACGAGAACCGGGTGAACTGCGGGCTGGCCCCGTTCCGCGAGACGGAATTCCGCCGGCGAGTGAAGAGTATTTGAGGTTTTCACTGTATGTTTTGATAACATCACATTAGCATCAGCATCTGTGGCATAGTTTGTGCATCTGCATTAATGGGTAAGGTTATGACAAAAAGAATGATTAGCACAGATAAAATAGTCGAGATAATTGAAATGTGACTGGATTTACGTATCACCACCGCCTTTGCTCTCTTGCAGTATCCTTATAAAGTCCCCATATCTTAGAATTTCGAATTCTTTACAGTATTGAATCAAGTAGAACAATTTGGACAAGATTGAGATACTTCTTATTTATTTTATCATTAGAATATTACATAGTCTATCGAAGATTAGCTTTTCTCTTTTTTTTCTCTCTTTTCTTTTCTTCTTTGTGAAAAATGCAATGTTTAGGAGATGCATGGTATTCATCCCCGCCAGCTCAGCATGCAGCCACCTCCAGCCACCATTGGCAGTTGTCCTCCTGCACATCATGCAGATCACCCGGGAGGAGAGTTGGGTAGGTATCATGGAAAGTGGTACCTTACCCCGCGGAACTAATCCCCGGACGAAGCTTCCCCTCACACTTCATCAGTATTTACCTTGTCTCACCCTGCGCAACCCAACACCTCCATCCTCTCTTCCACCACCACCACCACCACCACCACTTCCCCCTATTCTTCGAATCTCCCAGACCCCACGAAAAACATCCCACCACCCCCCAAAAACACTCAACCAACCCAAAACCGGCCCCCAAAATGACCAACCCCCCCAAGGAAGCCCCCACAACAACCAGCCCCCTCCCCAACTACACCCGCCACATAACCACCCACTCGGACCAGCAACTCGCAACCATCCACTCCACCACCCAGGGAGCCTGGACGCCCGTGGAAGCCAACACCTTCGCCTTCAGCGTCGCCTACACCACCTCGCGCTTCCCGGCGACGCTCACCGGCGACGCCGACCTCCGCGCCCACGAGGCCCTGCTGGCGAGCAACACCCTGGGGCTGGTCAACCCCGGCGGCACCGTGTGCCGGGTGGTGGACTTCGCCCCCGGCAAGCCGCCGCTGATGCACCGCACGCGCAGCCTGGACTACGGGATCGTGCTGGAGGGGGAGATCGAGATGGTGCTGGACTCCGGGGAGACGCGGCGCCTCAAGCGGGGCGACATTGCCGTGCAGCGGGGCACGATGCATGCGTGGCGTAATCCCCAGCCGGCCGGGTGGACGAGGATGGTCTTCGTGTTGCAGGATTGCGAGGCGGTCGCGGTGGGCGGGGTGGTCTTGGGGGAGGATTTGGGGGGCGCGGGTGAGATTTTGCCTTCCGGGGGGAGGGAGGGTTGTTGATGGGGATGGATAGGGGTTGGGAGGTAGGGGGTGGGGATGGGGGTAGGAGGAAGGGGGGAGGGCAGGCCGGGGGGAGGGGGCTTTTATTGTTTATGTTTGGTGGAGGGTAGCGGCCATTCCGCTGATGCGAGGTCTTTTATTATTGTTACCACGATGCTGCATTCTTTGTTGGGGGATTGATGGGTTTATCATTCTTATGAGCTTCTTGAACACCTTGAACACCTTCGTAAACCCGCAGGATAGCAAAGTCTCTCCGAGTATATGTTTGAGTAAGGAGGGTAGCAAAGCCCTTTCTAAATACTTTGGGAATAGGCAGGGTAACAACGCCTACCTAAGGCCTGTATGGAATTGAAGTAGTAAGAAGTCTGTTATCTTGAAGGTAGCTACAAACAGTTTATATCCATCCAATTCTGTAAAAGATCGTATATCGTTATTAATATACTTAATGAAAACACTATAGAATACGTACTTGAGACAAATTATACACGGATACTGAAGAGGTATACTCGATACCTTGTTATTTGAGTTACTTTGTAGGATGCTTGGAAAGGATTTGATGAGTACCCCACTTAAAGAAGTGGGAAGAAGGCTTTGCTACTCCATTTGAATTGGAAATGTGCGCGAGAAGGTCCTCGTATCTCTAATAGGGCATCGGTAAGTGATGCAGGGAAAGCATACAGTGAGATCAATTGTGTTTGAGGGATGGCGCTTATTATAAGTTATAGATTTGCATTTCGGCAATGGGTTGGCACATGGCTTCTTTGTCATGCTTGAAACGTGCTCAGCCCTATACCATCATGACCTACAAGCGGATATCTTCCCCGAGTCCTCAGCCGCAACGCTGCTCATCATGACATGAATGGTCTGACTCTTCGCGTGGCAAGAGACCCTCTTCCCCAGCTTTCTGATCTCCAGCTCTCTCTCATTACATTGTTCCTAATCACATCAGCAATTTCATCCTCTATCATTGACCACCAAGTCAACCTTCTCACCAGAACCACCAACACCCAAGACAAACTAAGCAAGCACCTAAAAAGATGCCTGTCCCATCTGTGGCCACCTTGGCCTCCAGAACCCCAACCATCCCCTCCTCACCCCATGCGCATCGTTTCAGCGTGGGGAGAAAACACCCTGTGAATCATGATCTCGTCTCCCCGCGCCTGATACCACTCGTCCAACTCCAGAGACCTGCCGAGGAATATCCCAGCCAGCCCATGGATATTTCCTCTGACCTATTCAAGCATCCTAGCAAGGAAGAGCTGGACATCATGTGGCAAGAGGCCACCGAGGAGATAGCAGCTATCCAGAAGCACCAAGTTACAGAAGTAGCAGCAGCCGCAGTGACCAGCACCAGGAAAAACTCCCTGTTCTCGAACCTTGAGCATTACGAGGATGAAGACCTCAACGATGACATCAATGACCTCATTCATACGGGTCGGGCTTACTCTCGCTGCAGCGATGACCCTTCCGAGGATCAGTTTTGGCCGGCCGAAGAAGACTCGACAAGATCCCGGGCCATGCTGCGGTCGACCGCGACTACGCCTCGCTCATCATGCACGAGTTCTATTGTGGAGACAAATCTCGAGTGCCTGACGCATGGGGTGCTTCAAAACCCTCAATATCAGTGCGATGAGGATGCAAGCGCGGCCTATCGAGCCCACAGAACCGAGGCATACGTGCACACTGTTTCCTCCTCCGCGTGGTGGGCCACCCCCTCTCCCTCGGACTGCTCTCTCACCGACAAGACGGACAATCATCGCATGACGGAGGAGATGCTTCAAAACCATTATCAAATGGAGCTGGAAGCGGAGAGAAGGGCAACTCGTCGAGCCATCAACAGCCGGCCACGCCCCCACACAACATCCTCACCCACGCCATCCATTAGTCCCGCTCCGTCGACCCGCTTTCTCGCCGAGGAGGACTTCCTTCTCTACCTCCGGAGAATAGATGCCAAGCAGGACCGAATGATGACAGCCGCGCAGCGCAACTGGCCCATCTGCGAGCATCAGCAGACCCTGCTCGGCATCCAGCAGGCCCTGCTCCAAGAACAACAGACTCTTATTGACGACCAGAAGGCCATGATCGCCGACCAGCAGGCCCTACTGGCGGACCAGAAGACCTTGCTCGCCGACCAGCAGGCCCTGCTCAGCAGCCAAGAGACCACCATTGGGGCGTTGCAGCGCCAGCAGGGCTGGAATTCGGTCATCAGTTCACCCATGCTGACACCGCCACCCTCAGCAAACAGCACCTGCGCTCCAACCAGAGCCCCTACACCCTCCCCAAACTGCAACAATCATCGAACCCCCAGACATCCCCGGTGTCAAGCCCTTCTCACCAACCAAGAGATTTTTATCAGGACCCTGGCGAACCAGCGGGATTCGGCTCTGGTCATCGATCCAGGAATGTTAGCACCGCCACCCTCGGCCAACAGCACCTGCGCTTCGACCAGAGCCCCAACACCAACATCCGCCGACAACGAAGACGACCACCAGCAAGCCGTCCCGTCGTGGGCATCCACGACATGGCTGCCGTATCGCCCCAGGGTTCGGGTTTGATTAACCTTACGTGGTGTAGCGTTTTACACTGTTGGTTTAGCTTAGCGAGTTGAGTTCTTGGAAATGAAATACCCGTGTTTTCTGCCAATGAGACTGGATATCTGATCGTAAGCTGTTAAGGATGTTCGTGATTATCCGTTCGATGGTGTGTGTTCATTCGACTTGTTAAATTCTAGCAGGTTCAGAATAACACGGTAGGTTCGATATTTAAGCACTGAAAATGACGGCCACTGTAATGAAGAAAGCCATGCTCATAGAAGTAAATGTGTAGATCAATAACTACCAGGTACCTAAGATCTAGCCATAGGGCAGACATATCCAATCCCGCTTGAGTATAGTGCCAAGGGTGCGGGCCACCAATGCACTTCCCTTCGTTTCCAGCGCCTGAGAAGTGAACTACTATACATCTTCGGGGCCGATCATGATCTTCTCAATCTCGAGCGTCACCAGCTGCCGCGTTAGCTGGTTAACAGAGGGAGACTATGGTCTGGGTCAAGGCCGCATTATTTCTCTGGCGATCGGTTTCGGTTTCCAACCGGGTCCTTGCAGCGACCTCGTAGGCAGGAAGCAGGATGTACAGATCCAGATGACGAATAAGGCAGTGTCGGGGTGACCTCGGGGAGACAGCTCGCCTGAATTCGGTCAACCGGTCAGGAGTTAGAAGGGAATAGGAGAAAATATGCCTCTCGATCAGCGCTTGCCACTTTCTATACACACCGGCCTAGAAAGCCAAACCGCCCGGGCGTGGGTACGCCAGAATTGCGGAGAGAATTTCGGCGGGTAAAGTGCAAATTCCAGTCATGTCATTTCTTCCAATGCGAGAGTGTGAAGCAGAGCGAGGATGCAACAGTTGATTGGAGGCAATCGGGCCTACAGGCAGGTGGTCTTGGTCCCTCAGGCTGAAGACTTCTGAATCGCCTGTGGCTAATCAGAGCTAAGTTAGACCCTTTGTAGAAGATGAACCAGGGTTTGGGGTCAGGCGCTGTAGGCCTGAAGAGGCATTGCAATCATTCACCTGAGCCCCACCCAAGACACTCAGTCTCTGGAGGGATAGTGGGGCGCTGTTCAAGGTTTTATGGTCACATTACCGGATACAGCTACATAGTACTCGAGTATGTAGGGTAACTTGCATAAGTACTCAGAAGCACTGTTGACAGCGTAGTCTTAGTCTCTGGATACCGTGTCTAACTAACAGTCAATTCATCTAGATGACTATCAAGAAGAAAGACAGGTTGAAGGCACAGAAGGGTACAACAGCATAAGTAAGGTAGTGGTCACCAAATTCCCTTTCCAATTTCAGTATGCACCAGGACAGTCATTGCTGAGTCCAAATCCATGAAAACAGTCGACGTGGACGAGTGCAACGATTCCGAAACCCAGCACATAGTCTCTCCCTTGACACCCAAATCAAGTACAAATGGAGTCTGACTTTCTTTCAGAGGTACGAATGTCTCCTGTCAATCGTGATCTTAAGTAGTCCTCAATTCATCATGACACACGCGGGTGCGTTGTCTGCAATTTATACCAACCCTATTCAGAATCTTGCGGTGTTTTTTTCAGAAGGGAATGAAGTTGAAAAAGTCCCAGAAGAAGGTCTAGTGTTGATAGGCCTAGATCTTTTCCATGATCTGTAGGGGATCACTACCAATCAACTTCTAATCTAGGCGTAGAATGCTACACATTAGGCACAGCTTCATTCACACTTAGTGTCGGAGATCTGAACTCATTTCGAAGTCTTGGAAAGCTCTCACGAAAAGAAAAACAAAATAGACGTTGCAGTAGCTTAACATAGAGGTCCGGGTCCAGAGGTCGTCGAAATGATCTAGTGCACAAGGACGTGCTTGCGAGAAACCAAGATGCCTTTGTATTAGCCTTGTGGCGTTTCTGTTAAACCTCTGAAGCCAAATTCAAGTTCTAGCTTCTGCGCGCCAGTTTGCTCTTATTCCAACCCTAGTCATCACAGATTTTGATCTGAAGCAATGATTCCAAACAGTGCTCCATATCGGCACTTTCCAGTACTATCGCTTCCATCTCATCTCTCCACCCTGGCTGCCCAGCAATCTCATCTATCCATCGCGACCATTTCTCAACAACATCAACAGCTTGTTGAGGAGATGTTTGGAACCATTCCGAGTGCGGGTGCAAGCATGCTTCGCAGTCAACCCTCACTCGACAGGTTCTGAGATCGGCGTGACAAAGGATCTCAATCAGTGCTGGACTATGGATCCCTCTTTCCAAGCCAACGGGACGAGGGTAGATTCCCGTGATCTGGCGGTTACAAGTTTCACTCCATTCATTCATCCGTTCCTGTGCGGTTTTCTTCTCGGTATAACCAACCTTGACGTAGCCTTCATTTCCCTTGATCTCGTAGACATAGACATAGCCTCTCCTCTCCTCTCCCTTTAAGTTCTCAAGCACAACTAAAATCCGATCCTGGTATTTCTCGGATGACCAATCTTTCACGTTCCAGCTCTCCGATGAGAGAATTCGAAGTGGGGAGGTATCGTAACCCGTCACTACCTGGCATCAACAGATCTGTACACATATATATCATGGAAGGTACAAGACACTGACCTTTCCAATGCTTCGCTGTCTCTCGCAGAGTGCTACTCACAGTGTCCAGTTGATCTGGAGTGGGTTTACCAGTTGCATCTGCCGTGTCTGGCGGGGGCGGGCTTGATTCTAGGAGGCTCCGGGCGGCCTTAATGGCTCTGATCCAACCAGCAGCCTTGCTTAAGCACTGGTTCTTATGATAGCAACAGAATGCCGCTTCTCTGAGGTTCTGGATCCAGATTTCCAGTACTTCGTCGCGCAGGAAGACCTGTGGTTTGAGGATCTCCTGAATGCTATGGGACATAGTCTGCACCGTTTTGCCACTTAGTTTCAGCCGGCATTGCTTCTTTTTGCTCGAGATCCCGATACAGGTTTTGCTGGCTTCAGGCAATTCATCACGAATGCGCTTAATGGCCGAGGAGATTTTTGCATCGAGGTCACCCAACGGAAAGAGGTCGGACCAGCTCACGACTCGGCGCCCGAGCGCTGTGCTATAGTCATGCATATGGCAGTGTACCAGAGACGCCAATTTCGTAAGTCTTTGAGGAAGCTCTGGAGATGATTGCGTCAGATTTAAGAGCGCAGTTAGGGCCTGGTCCAGCTCATCCTTCTCGGTCGCCCTCCGAGGATTCCGGCAGCCCCGTTCGTTTCTAGTCATCGCTCCACACTGGGGGGTTTCTGTCTCTAAGCCAAGCCGTATCTTCAGTTGAGCGACGCTGGAAACGCCCAATGGCGAAGGGGATTCTGGCTCCTCTGAAGACCCTGGACCACGCTGCGAAGGGCTAGATGGAGGAGTATTAGGGAGAGCTATAGCTTTCAGGGCTCTCGCGGGTGTGTCCTTGCGTTCGCTTTTGGCAACATCAATCTTTCTTTCGGATAGACCTGGTGAGGTAGGAGGGCTAGGGGCGAGTAGAAGAGGTAGTGGGGTGGAAGGCGGAGGGGGGTTCTCCATCCTGACCTTGTCCGACTTGGGTCAAATCGCTAGCAGAACGGATCAAATAGAGAAGTCTTGAAATGGGCTTATATATATGATCTCTGTCGCCACGGTAGCCTCTCGGGTACGCGAAAGAAGCAAGCGCAGACATGGAGGGAACGGCTTCCTCGATGCCTCTTATAGTGATTCCCAAGTCAGCCTTGCATTCCTGTGGTCAGGTGGCAGCTGGATGGAACGTAAGCCGGCAGTTCTCTCGAAAGCCACGGCGCCAAGCTGCTAGAGGATAATTGGTCGGAGCCATATCTGCGCTTTGGAAGAGGCGGGGCTTAGAGGAACCAATAAGACCATGAGCAAGGCAAACTAAGTATATCTCTACAGCATTAGTATTATCGAATGAAACTGAAGGCCGTACGAGGCACCGTGGTATTACACCTCAGCGCTAGCATGTGGGAGAGGGAAACGGGAGAGAAGGAGCTTTAACTGTGGTAAAACTTGTTGAGAGCGCGCTTGGGGATTTCACTCGAAGATTGGAAATTCGGCTCTGTCATTTTGGAAAAATACATATATGTATATGTGAGAAGCGGGGAACATTTTGTTTTAGAAAGAAAAGTGCAATGACAGTGGTGTCATGCGGATCGACAACAAGTAGAGAAAGACTAAATAAAAAGTGCAAGTAAAAAACATACAACAGAAGGGATTCGCTGGTGGTCACCCACCAACTACTAACCTCCCGGCGTGTGGCTGGCTCAATTACGGGTGAGCGGACGCGAAGCCCTATTTTCCACACCGCATGATCGTATGTGCTAAATTCCGAGAAAATGAATCCTAGATACACGAAACAACACTGCAAAGACGTGAGATCGAAGATCTACAACCACCTACAGGTACGATCCCAACTTCATCTCATCCCCAAATGGAGACATCGTTCAATCGACTCCGCCTCAAGATCACCTTGCACGGAGAACAAGGCTAGATCCTCATCCTCCTCCAACACATTCTCCAATGCCTGCTTGGCCGCCGCCAACCTGACCTTACGAAGGCGTTCATTCCCCTGGAAACCATAGACCAGCGACTGTCGATGCAGCGCACGGGCATACTGAATCTGTCCGTCCTTGGATTCGCAGGCTTCGAAGTGGGTGATAGTCTCGCGGAGGGCGTCACTGTGACAAGAAGAAACATGAGATGAATTGAGTCAGATGATATGACAGGATATTCGGAGGAGCTTGGAAAATGTAGTAAGGTGGGGATACTCACTGTGCTAATCCAAAATTCTCTTCTTTCATGTACACGTCGGCCAGCTTCAGGTGTGCCAGGGCAACGAGACTGGCTTCTTCATCGACCGTCTGGGTCCCAAGGCCAACTATTTTCTCACCCCCAAGCGCTGCTAGTGCTAAGCCATAGGAATACTTCGCCTCTCGATGCCGCGACAAGGCAAGTTCCGCGTCGCCTCTGGCCAAGTGAAATCTACTCATGCTTGAGGAATGGAGCCCGCGTTAATTGCATCCTCTGCTACGGCTCGATCCGGACAGTCGGGCAAGCTCACCTGCAAACATCCACTTTAGACTCTGTCCTCGTTTCAATATCATCGGACTTTGCCGCTAAGTCGCAAAGCAGATCGACAGCCTCCTGGACACAGCCCTGCTGGATCAGAATCCGGGCGAGATATGTGCTGAACACAATGTAGCTGGTAAGGGCCTTGGATGTGCTCTCACAAAAAGCACCGACTTGGTCACGCGCTCGAACAATCGCGGCGAGCGCGCGGAAGGAACTTTCTATCGTCTGTGCCGCGTACACACGGAGTCCATTCTCAGCCACTTCGGTTGCGGTGGTGATGAGCTGCTGCACCTCGACGGAGTCCGATATAGGTGCCCGGATGTCATCGCCCTCCTGCGGCCTAGGGTCATCTCGATTATATTTCGGCTCGACGGGCTCTGCTTCAAGCATTTTCTCTGTGAGAAGTGTGGTAGGCTTGATCAAGCTAATGGACAGTGGCTCTGATCCTCCAACGGCCGAGGTTTGCTGCTCCTCTGCTAATTCCGTTCCTCTATGTGGCGCCTTGGACCCCGCCCACTCACAGCCGGGGCTCAATGATCCTAAAGCCTGTGAGTCATCTAACCCACCAACATCCATATTATTACCATTCTCAGTCTTTTCTTTGCCCGGTGATTGCTGCTCTTTTGCCACCACATCTGGCAGCCAGATAATCTCAACCTTGAAAGGGCCGGTCTCAGTTTCCAGCCCCATCAGCCCCGAGGTATACCCTTTCAAGAAGTCTGGCACCTTTGGATTGACCACGTCAACGCCAGGAACCTTCGTTCCTTTTCCCGAAGACGAAGCACAGCGATGACATAGAACAGAGTAAGGCTCGATCAGCATCTGATCACAGCCAGAAACACCGGGGAGCTTCATAGGCGGTCCCGCTGGGGTGTATTGGCGCGTGATCGTGGCCGAGGCATTGCGGTAGATCTCGGCGATCTTTGACAGCTCGACCTCGCGGTCGACGGGGTCATCTTGAATGACGCAAAGGCCATCGATCCAAAGGTAGCGAATACCGAGCGACGTGGCAATCCCGCACGCATCGCGGTAGAGAAGTGGGAGGTCAGCCACGCGCCCCCCATTGCTGCAGACTTCAAATGTGGATCTGGTGAGCGTCACTGGCATGGATTGGTGATCGTGATTCTGGTCGGTCCAGCTGTAGCTCAGGGCAACGTAGGAGGCGGGCTTGCCCAGGGTATCAATCACTTTCCAGCCAGCGGTGTTATCGTCGATAAGCACTAGTCGTTGTGGTCGCTGGATATCATTCTCCTTTGTTGTCGCGGAAGGAAGCCCCTTCTCGGTGTGCAGGGTCGCCAGTAAATTGTGGGCCAACGCGACCAAGTTCAGATCTTCTTCGGCATTTTTTAAGACATGAGAGTTATACCTGTTCCATATGTAGAGAGTTAGTAGACTTTAACAGGACAGTTAGGATCTCGCCCACTCACCAAGCACATAAGAGGATGAGCTTGACAAAGGGCGTATAGTGCTCCGGGCTTGTTAGGGTTGCAGAGGCGACCTCCGACAGGCGGTGGCATTGGGTGTGGATGCGCGAGAACTCGGGCCAGTAGCCAAACACAACGTTTTTGAACTTCCGCTTCGAGGGCCACTGTGCAAGTAGCAGTTGCACCGCCGTGGTGAATGCATGCACCTGCTCCTGAGTACTGGTCAGATACTGTCGCAAGGTAGATTGTACCACTCGATGCATTTGTATCGATGAACGGGAGCTCGCGGACGAGCAAAGTCCACTTTTCAGCGACTCGATTCGGGCCCGGTGGAAGCTCTCATCTGTGATCGGAAAGCCTCGAATAATTGGGCTGCATCGTTGCGCCTGAAGCAGGGTCGACTCGGGGGTGTCATAGGGATCTAGGTAGGAGATCACACTGCACAAGCCTTTTGCTTCGGGGGAGAGTTGATCAATATTCAGACAGGCCGTCAGAAGCGTGGTTGACGTGGAGTGGAGCCGATATTGCTTGCGTAGGCGCATCAGCCCGAGATGTTCACTCAGACTATGCGTAACGCCACCCTCGAGGTCATTACGTCGGCTGGAGTGAAATTGAGACTTGTTCTGTAGTGCTTTGCCAACCATGCTCACTGCAAGCGGGTTGCCCCCGAGCAAACGCACGAGACCGAGATCCTGGACTTGTTCCCGAGGGAGGCCTGTGATGGTATGGACCAATTCGCTCCCTTCCTCCTCGCTGAGTGGGTTCACAAAGAATTCAACTAGAGAGCTCCTTGGAAGAAGATCGAGGTCGGGGGACCGACTAGTGACGAGAATATTTCCATGATCACAGCGTGGTATATACGCCTGCAGGGCTCCCAAATTATCAGCGTCATCGAAGATCAACAGCCATTCCGACTTGTTCTCTTGCAACCATGACGTGAGTCTCGCATGGCTTTGCAAGTGACTATGTTTCTTGTGGCTTTCTAACAGTTCCAGAGCGTAAGCAATCTCATGGAAGGACTGCGCGATACTCTGTCGATGGCTAGCCTGTACCCACATAATTGAACTGAAATGCCGGCCATGATGGTGAACGTACTCACGGGCAACAGCCGTCTTGCCAATGCCCGGCATACCCGTCAGAATGGCTGCTCTCTGTCTGGGAATCATCGTCATCTGTGTTGTCGTTCCTGCTTGATCCTGGAAGTATGCTCGCAGAGATTCCAGGGTATCCTGCCGTCCGCAGAAATTGGGAGCTCGGTCGGGCAATCGAATCTGCGATGGCAGAGGCCGACCGGTACTTAAAACGGGCGTCTCACCTGGAACCCCGTTATTGCCGTGGCTGTAGCTAGGATCTTCATATCTAGCATTATGGGCGGCATTCGGGGGTTCCGGACCGGCATCTGTGTGATTGGGCGCCATTGTGCCTGTCTTTTCGCCAGCAGAATGACTGTAGCTGACCTGAGCATATGAGGTCGCCGGTGCTGCGCGATGAATATCTACCTCTTCGCCTGTTCCAACTGTGGATGAATGCGCTGATTTTCCGATGAGGATCGCCGACTGCGATGACTTGGTAGGTGGGGATTCTATGGGCTGATTTGTGTCGCATTCACCGCTCGATGGGTTAGGCACCGCGTGTGTTATCCCTTTAGGGTTGTCGGATGAAGAGTACACATGCAGTCCTTCGAAAGTGGCACCAGTATTTGCATTCTCAGTGGCCAAGCGCTCCTGCATTGGGGTCACAGGGCACACATGCGAATCCTCCGTCGATGAAGACAGATCCTCCTTCTTTCCATCAAGCTCCCCAGCATCGTTATCCCTGATCTTAGGTCGAGGCTCCCACTCATTCGCAGCGATCATGTCGAGCTTCAAACGATACCGACTTTGATGATGAAATACACACCGCTTCTGCTCCCCCTCATCTTCCGACAGATTCTCGTCCACATCAGCCGTCGTCCACTTTCGCACGGTGACACTTGCATCGCACACGCAGCCTTCGTAGCGTGCCCCCGTGCGAGTCCGCAGGCGGAAGAACGACTTGGCCTTGACTGTGGCAGACGAGATGTGGAACAGACGCGAGTGGAGAGTTATCTCTTCGAACCGATCGGAGATGGCTTTGAGGCAGCACAACGCTTGTTGACTGCATATCTGCAGTGGGGCTTGATTGGAGGAAAGTAGGAGGAACCTTTGGACGAGGATTGGCCATTGCTCGCGGTTGGCATCTTTCAAAATCGGGTCCCCGATCATAACTAGGGTTTCGAGACAGTCAAATAGGTTGGATTCCCCATCGTGATGTCTTCTGGGGTGCGCCTCGATTATAGCCTGTCGCTCATTGTTCTATGACATCAGTGAATTGTCAAAGTCGAGGTGCGTCGAAGGAGGCACAAGGATTTACATACCTTCTTGAGGATAAAAGCACCCAGGCGATAGCCTATGGTGATGAGACTACAGTCGGGCGACTAGATCCTCGCGATATCTGATGATTAGCATTCCGAAAGCCTTGCCATTAGGGAAAGTAGAAAGATGATACCTTGACTCGATCCTTGCAGAGTGCAACGAGCTCATGGTACAGTTCTTTCCCAGCCTCGCAGACCAATTCCCACGACTGGACAGATTGAACTTTGATACCGTGCCAGTAGATCCAAACTTCCAGTGAAGGCTTGAGTGCTGCGAAGCAGTGCTGGATCCATTCCATGAAGTGTGGACATGTTTGTTCGGCCAGGGAATCTGCATCAAGCCCCGGGACCACGACGACGCTTTCACGGACACATTAGCAGAGATACCTTGAACTTGCGCCGGCTCACCGGGATAATCATCATGCATCCTGGATGAGAAACCAACACACTACATTGACTTACATCGTCTTCAGATGGTCGTCAGGCTCCGCAGGATAATGCCTTCGGAATCGTCCCATTCTGACCCATAGAATTGGGAAGGAGCCCTCGAGGTCTCAGGCAGGGCCAGCCATAAAAGCAATTCGGTTCTCTTTTTCCTTTTCGCTTTTTCTCCCGAGGGAGAGAACGTGTCACAACGACAGGTACGCTTTTCTGTCGATGCTGCCTGGGAGGCTTACGGCTGGGCGTTGCACGAGGCACAGCAATTGTGTGGAGGAGATTCAGTGTCAGCCTTGTCTCGAATGACGAGGCTGTGCCTTCGACAAAGCATACTGGGGGGCCAATCTCGCGCAAGATAAACTACACTCCCCTGCAACTCATGCAGATGGTCTGCAGCAAGGGAGTTGGTGCTCGCACAACTGGTTGGTGGATACATTATCAGGGAGGGGTATCTGAGCGCTTGCAGGATCCGACGAAGCGCAGCGAACGCCACACAAGCTGTCCTATGACACATACAATGACTTCACAGTGGAAGTCAAACGCCCCAGGCCAGGTATAGAGTCACTACACATGACAATAAAAGACGTGAGTTCGGTACAACTTTATGAGACGATGGGCACAGAGACATGACGAACCTGCCAGCAGTTGAGCAGGAGCACGAATACGACGAGCCTCCCGACAACGGTGGAGCTCGATTCTTGCGATCACGAGTCCGGTCTCTGAATCGCAATTCACTACACTCAGTTGCCTACATGGGCCACTTGGCAAGCTATCTCGATCAGCCTTCTCAGAAGCCTTCCCTACAATATCTTCCCGATCGAGCGGCCGTCTCATCTGCGCGGAGCGACAATATCTTTCTCTACTCGTACTCTCTTGCCCATCCCGAACAGCCAGACCCCCGGGTATATCAAGAGGTGTCTCAGTTCCAATCTGCTGGTGAAGACAAACAGGCTGAGCTCATCTTCCTCACCGGATATCCTTCGCCGCAGTGGCTAAACGCGGTAGTGACGCGATACGGTATCGATCATCGATTCTTACACAGGCATCTCGACTTCTTGCCGACCGGGCAGAGAGATTGGTACGCGATTCCCAGTATACCTTCCCGATCCCAGCAGTTTATTCAGATCTTGGTGCCATGCATCGTATTCACTGGGCATGAGGGTCGGTTTGTTCCGGCAGAAGATCTCCAGCAGGCTCGCTTTGCATGTGCGGAGCTGCTGCGACAAAAGTCCAAGAGCTTTTTCGGGCGGACAGGCACTCCTGCGGGTCAGACGATTGTGCGCGGGGTCAACATTCATAGTGGCGAGGCGATGGTGCTGGAGCATGCCATTACCGTCTGTGTGCGGACAGACGGCGAAGCATCGAAGAGTAAGGGACCACACTAACCACGTCTTGTGTGCGTGTGAAATGTTGAGAAGCTGGAAGCTTACGATTAGTGTGAAACCCCCAGTCATAGTGTGGAGCGATGCAGCCAGCGATGATATCTCGAACTACATTCCCGTCCCTGACGTGAACGCTTTCCTGAACGTGGCCGGTGCTCTCGAGTGCTGCCCGGTGTTCTTCGAGAAGCAACTTGACACCCAACCACCGGGCTCGAGAAGCAAAGCCTGTGGCAGTCTAGGGAGCAGCGTGCAAGCCTTATCGGTCTTGGCTACTGACTATGGACACACGCTCGAGTGGAGTGCCGTGCAGCAGGACCCTGTCCTCGCGCTCGAGGAGCTGTTCACGTTCCAGTCCGTCGCGGCGATGCAGTACCTGAACATGCTGCGCAAGGACATCACGCAGGCCATGCATCGCACCCAGACCATAGACGTGGCCTCATTGAACATGGAGGATATCTCAAACTTCGAGTATACGAAGACCGTCCTGGTCCGATGGGCTGCACACTTCCGCTCACTGGGCCAGGCGCTGGACCCTGACTGTCCCGGCAGCCCCCTCGCTCCACGAACCCATGGGATGTTCCCCTCACGAGAAAGCATGTTGACCCTGAAACGGCGCGACCTGGACTTCCTCGCCGCAGAGGCTCAGGTATTAATTGAGCTGTGCGACAGTGGGAAGGCGACAATAATGGGCAACTTCTCCATCGCTGAATCCAGGCGTATGGCGGAAGAATCGCGGCTGGTCGGGCAGCTGACCAAGCTGACCAACCGGTTGACTTTCATCTTCCTGCCGATCTCATTTGTCACCTCGGTGTTCGGGATGAACTTCAAGCAGTTTGGACAAGGGCCTCTGGATATCTGGATCTGGGTGGCCGTCACGGTGCCCTTGCTGGCGGTGTGCGTGATTCTCGTGGAGTGGCGGATCTCGATTCGAGCTTTGGTTGAGAAGGCGTGGGCCAGATTACGACGGCCTGGATCCTTAGGAGGTGGCTGAATAATAACGCTCCTGGGATCTTAAGCGCTGTGGATTTACTCAGAGGCGGTATGATTTCTAATCATTCGGATCGTCATTTGATTGTTTGGACGACGATCAATGACTAGATTTTCATATCAACTGTGCTATAGAAATGGCTAGACTGGTCTCAGGAGGCCTCAAATGAAAGAGGACGCCTAGACATAGACATCACGAGAAGCGGTGTTCTCGATACCTGTTGACTGGAATTTCTGCTATTGCTGTTGGTTTATAATTGATTACGCGGGTAGAGCTGGGCAGGAGCTCATCATATATTCATCCTGATTCCAGTTGACTTGCGACTTGCCTATGAGCAGCGTGAGTGTACTGACCTCCGCAATTCCGGCAACTATGACTAACATATCTCAAGTTATCTTTAGGTATTTTCAAACACCTACACCCATGCAACCACCATACCCCTCCCGGGTCCAGTCAGAGCACTCAACGCAACCACCATATCTGTGCTAGATACTAAGCTCCATCAGTGACCTTCAAGTCTGGAGATTAGATGCCCCAGAAATGGTTTGTGTCACGAATACGAGTGTGAAGCCTGTCGACTGCAGACGCATCTTCTGGTCGTCCCACGCAAGTACACTTGTTGCTGTCTTATGGCAGGACACGAATGTGCAGGTTAGAAGTCCAGACATCGTGCAGTGCCTTCAGAACTTGCCAATGGACATTCTCCATGGGAATAGCATTAGGGCGCGACGTGTTCCCACCGAGCTCGAGGCATCCATGTTTCTTATCATTTGGCACGTCTATAGCAACCAAATCTCCCCCAGGCTGTGATATGAGTGGTGACAGGGCTCGCGTCGCCTATCAAGGACTGAGTCTCGAAATCCTCTCTGTCCCCTGCGCGTTATCGGGAGATGAATCCTTCCGCGATGACGTTGTCGAAAGAGACATCCTCGGTGAACGTCGCGATTTGCTGCAAGTCGGGTCGTCTCTTGTTCCACCAGCTCAAGGGAAGCAATACGATGCGGGAACTGCTCTCCCCACATGTGACTGTGCTTGACGGATTTGAAAGATGCTACTCGTGTCTTCGGCCGTATCATGGTCTGGCGAGCGAGTATGCTGTCCGCGGTAAACCATTCCCAAACCTATGGCCGGGTTAGGGCTTGCGGGTCCACAACCTTACCCGTGCCGGACGATGAACAGCAGTCAAGTGTGTGGATGTGGATGAGGCCAACAAAAGAGGAAACCAAAAAAGATGGAGCTGCGGGGAATCGAACCCCGGACCTCTCCCATGCTAAGGGAATATTATACCACTAAACCACAGCCCCAATTGATGTTTGACCTGCTCGCAAATGTGTTACGGAAACACCAATTGCCCGTCAGTGACAACTGCCATCTTCCGGACCACTTGGGATGCATGTAGATTAATCACACGGTGACATGAAAGGAGCTCTGGGCTGAAGAGAAGACTCTTCTTTCTAGTACTTCTGTACGGCACTTTGTTGAGCATCTACCGCATGCCTGAATTATATAAATCCAGGGTCTGACCCCAAATTGACTTGTCTCGAGCAAGTACGAACACAAATCAAGCTACAAACTAAATGTCGAATGATCACGGAGGCTAATTAGCACGAACCAAGCTTGCTAGAATACCCAGAATATTTTGGACATTGTCTCCTTGCAGGGTGTCACAGTGTGTTCAGAATGTCAGTATGCGAGACCTCTTGGCAGACCCCGCAACCTTGACCCTAAAGTCCGTAGTTCAACCCTCCATCCATGATTCTGCCTAGTGTTAGGGGATCGGCTGCCTGTTCCCGGAAAACCACCAACTCAATCAGATCAGCAAATATCTAGTATATCTGCTTGAATTCCTTAATTCGAAGTTTCAACCTCACACATTCCTCATCCATACAGATGATGAGTAGCAATATCAGTGAGAATGATAGTCCACCGCCTCAAAAAGGCCTTCATTGTTCCTGGGTGGACAACAAGGATTCAGATGAAGTTAATGGCAACTTTTCGACCTTGTAGTAAGCTACCAGTGACAAACTATCGTTTCATATACAAAGAGATAGATTCAAGCACTTTATCCGAACAAAGTCATAGTTGCGAGGCTCCTCCCGGGTCGCAAACAGTCAATCGAGGTGACTGGGGCATCCTGCTACTATATGCATAAAAGTTCCACCAGTTGCCCGGCGTTTCGTCACATGAAGCCACTGGTTCGTTTGAGTCGACTGGTCGACTCCAATTTCATGGTTTTGCGCTCAGCCCTGGAATCCTCCAATTCCTGGCGCTTCCGGATTGCGGACTTGCCCTTGTGAGGTTACATCCACCTCTAACCTGACACCATTCAACCTATGCCCAACTTGTCGAAAATAGCTTCCTCGGTAATGATACACAATAATTAGACCAGCGGAGTAACGTCCGGCTTCTTACCGCACTTGGCCTGAATTCACTCGTGGTCGATAGCGCCCTCACCCGCTGGAACCTTGGTTCGCATGAGTATCGCGTACATATGTGCCATCAAGGCTGTTCATTCCTGTCCAGCTTAAAAGATTGCACGTTGACTACTGTGTTAGATTGTATATAATGGGCATTGCATTTAAGGTTGTAGGTCGGATCGTCCAATTGACGGTAGTCGTCGGTTCCGTCCCATACCACTATAATACGCACGCAGCCCTTGTTGTGGCCCGCCTCTGACAGTTCCGACATAGAATTACGAACTAGCTCATCTGTGGGCGCCAATACTGTTTTCACAGTTGTAAACAGATCTCACTTTGGTGTGTGCCTGACAAATCAAGCTGCCATGCTTAGCGATCAACATCCTTCCGTGATTAATCAACATTCGCATTGCGGTATAGGATTACCAATGCCAAAGCTCCAGCATATCAAGGCATAAATATATAAGGCACCTGATTCAACGTCTGTGTGTATACAAAATCCACTTCAAATTTCATCGAATACTCAAGTATTCATTCTGATACGCCCTCCAACCTAATAACAATGACATCCTTGAACAATCAAGCTGCATGGCAGCCCAAGGCTCGCACCAGATCCCTCCAAGTCGGCCCGGGGCCAACACCTAGCCCAAATGAGCATGAAGTGGTGATCCAAGTGGCCTACGCAGCGGTCAATCCGACCGATTGGAAGGTGAGCAACCAGCCGTGGAGAATAATAGGTATCTTTGGAGAATAGCGGTGACTAAAGCCACTTCGACCAGATAGATGCAAGACACCCCGTACTTCGAGCTCGAGTACCCATTCATCTGGGGCAACGATGTCGCGGGAACCATTGTGCAGCTTGGCTCTGAGGTCACGCAATTCAAAGTCGGGCAAAGAGTAATTGGGTGCGTTCGACCCAAGTCCCTTTTTTCCGAACAGAAAAAAGGCTTATTCAGCAGCGGCTTCGAAATGAATACTGACCTGATCATAAAACAAGACATTGCGACTCATTGCTCACGCGTAAAGCCACCAACGCAGGCTTTCAGCTCTACACCACCGTGCGGGAGATTCTCGTCGCGGAGGTTCCAGACTCCCTGCCTCTCGCCAACGCGGCCGTGCTGCCTCTGTCGGTGTCCACCGCCGCCAGTGCTCTCTACGTGCAGCTGGATCTGCCTTTTCCTTCCCTGAGTCCGAAGAGCACGGGCAAGCGCATTGTCCTCTGGGGCGGGAGTTCATCGGTCGGCAGCTCGGCCATCCAGCTGGCGGTCGCGTCGGGACTCGAAGTGCTGACTACCGCCAGCGAAGCCAACCACGATCTTGTCCGGAGTCTTGGCGCTTCGCAGGCCTTCGATCACCGGGACCCCGACGTGATTGATCAGATTGCCAGTCTTTTGAGGCAGGGAGATTATGTTGTGGACTGCATCGGGAGTGCAGATACTCAGGCGAAATGCGGCCAGATCCTGGGGAGGATAGGGGGAGGAACGCTCCCGGTGATGCTATGGCCGCAGGCCGGGCTGCCGGAGAACGTGAGGGCAGTTTTTGGTGAGTCTGCTGATTCTTTTTTTCCCGCTATATCACAATCGGTGAATATGCTGACGGATATTATGCCAGTCAACGGTTTAGATCCGGGGATGGTGGATCTGGACGTGGGCAATGCGGTGTGGCGGAAATTCATCCCTGAAGCGTTGGCAGCGGGGAAGTTCCAGGCAAAACCAGACCCTCGTATTGTGCCTGGTGGGCTGGAGAAAGTTCAAGAAGGCATAGATATTTTGCGCCAGGGAGTGTCGGCTCAGAAGGTTGTGATAGATATCTCCCAGGATTGAGCATAACGACAATAATGCTATGGTACTTGGAGAATCAGTGAAGGTAGCGCACTGGAGAATAAAAAACAGTTTCCCGTCTTTTCGGCTAAACACAGCCGTTCCGGCGGCACCGGCGCTCTCCATCTCCCGAGACCCAGACGGGCGGAAGGTGATCCGGCGGCCCGAGCCGGCGTAGCCGGCTATGTAGATTACAGAAGGCCATTGCGGCCCAACGATATGACAAGATAGCAAGGGCGCTTGTCCAAATCAATTATGGTCACATTCCACACTTTGACTCGCACTTCATTAGGGAGTGTGTGGCTCGGAGTTTTGATCTGTAAAATGCCAAGAAACAGGAACAAAGAGTGGGCTGGAATCAAGCCCTACATTAGAAATAATTAAAATCTTTATACCCGAGGTTGTATTTACAGCAACTTTCATTCTGATGGTATAAATAAATCCCATCGATTGATGTATACTCCTGGTGGGGGTGGCTATGTAGCCTGTGCTGTAGCTTTCATATTGTATATTCGTTAGTGAGCGGCGTTTCCCGGTAATTGTTGCTGTCATCCTTGCGGCAGACTCCTCTGAGGTTCGTCCGCGTCAATCCCAACTTCATATTCCTTCAAGATTCCTTGTCCTGTACTAGCACAAAAGACGTGTTCTTCTTCCACTCTACCAGCCCATGCCGTCAAAACTCGATGAAAGTCTCCCAGCGAGGCATTCAAAGTATATCCTTTACCGATAGTCTTCACGATTGTATTCCATCGTTTGTCCACTTATGCAATATGGTACTCTTCAATAAATAAGCCTTTATCTGCATATACCATGTAGGGACAGTTTCCCTCAACTGACCAATCGTCTTTGTCCTAAACTCGAGAGAAGGTCATACCTTTCTACGCCAAACAGAAGATATAAATTGAGGTACTACATCCGAATCCCAGAGAAGATTATCAGACCACATGTCCATCATCCTTGGACAAACTCGACGCCTTCAAAGTAAAGTTTCAAATAGTCCAGAAAACATTCCACAGCTATGGCACAGCCTGCAGACGATAGCCATCGTATCCCCATGTTCACCGAGCAGAAGAAGCTGCGCGGCATCGGTAAGCTCTCCGCGACCTGGCTTGCGGTCATACTGCTTGAGAATGTGGAGTACCCCGAGCTCGTTGCCGATAATTGGGCGCTGGCCCTGCAAATCCTGCAGGGAGTATGGCAGAGCCGCCGGCTAAAGCACCCAGCTCTTCGCCGCAGGCGAATGGGTGGTGTTCTCGCTGCCAGGGGATGTGTTCGCATATATATCGAGTCCCACACTGGGTCCGGAACCTGTGGCCCGCCGCTGCGCTGGGAGTATGGAGGTGTGGACGAGTATGGCGAGCTGCACCTGGAAGAAAATTGGGAAGACTTCAAGGATGCTTTGGAAGCACTGTGCGATATTTATGGGAATGAAGCTGAAGCTGGGGCTGAGGCTGGGGTTGAAGATTCGACAAATTCTATGTGGGATGAAGATTCGACAAGTTTTATGTGGGATGAAGGGTACTAATACCCGACAGTTCTCTCCCACCCTTTTGCATGTTTGACGATTAGATACATAAACACATCAAAAAAAAAAACAAAAAGAAAAACAAACGAAGGAGCATTGACAGCCAAAGAGATAAATGAGAGACCTTATTTGAGCAAGTAGAACAGGCGATCTTGAACCAAGCAATGAACGGATTCTACGCCATATGAAACCAAGTCCAGACTCAGACATAGTGACCGTCTGATGTAAAGCGATATCATCTTCCTCTTCCTCCTCGGACCACCAATCAGACGCAGTCCAGCTACTACTGAAACGCCACTATCAAACGACCCCATTCATCAATAGTGACCTGAACAGCTATCAGTCCATACTAGACAGTCTGAGTCTGGGTGTTGGTGGCACATGCGGCTTTTGGGAGGGGGTACCTACACAGCTGCTTGTCAGTGTTCACCATATCTTTTACTTCGTCTGAATCCTGCATTGTTATAGGTGGGAATCACTCAGGGCCAGCTACTTACTGAGGTGGAAAAAGCAGAAGCAAAAAGGGGGCAACCGCTATGAAGCTGCCTACAATGAACAGCCAGATAACAAAGAACATGGCCGCGCCTGCTTGATCAGAGTCACTTGGGTCGAACATTTTGAATGTATAATTGTTGTAAAATAGGAGATGTGTTGGAAGATGAGAGGCTTTCTTGGCTGATACCGTATACTAAAGGCGCAGCGGCTGGCGGAATGGTTGTAGGAAGAAAAGAAGGTGGTGCATTGAAAAAGTCTTTCCCGAGTCACCATACACAGATAATGATAATCATGACGCGTGTGAGCGGAACCCAGTTCCTGTCGTCTAGGTAAGTAATAATAGTATCAGCTGAGGTTCGGACAGGGAGCTTTATGAAATCATCATGACCGGCATTTCCATTACTAGGTATGTCATCGAGTAAAAGATCAGCTGTGCGGGACTGTATGGGGTATTGAGACTACAACACAGTCGCCTAAAATATCTTCCGTCATATCGTATGCTACCTTTGCCCACCGACAAATATAATTAAACCTGAACAGTTATTATCTTCAACCTCCAGGTGAACACGATATATATCACTCTCTTTGTTTCTCTTCTCCACCCCATCCATCGACAAATGCTTAAATCATTGCCGTTCGCGCAGTTTTCATCCAAATGGGCCAAAATTGTAGCCTATCATAGCCGTACTGACAATTCACCTTCACCCGGCTCTATAATAATCATTTCTAATGCAGGCTCTTCGACAGTAGAGCTCTGCCCATATACGCACAGCGCTACGGGCTTTTGACAAGTATTGAGTGGAATTTCCCGACCTTCAGACACAGATTTGATCGGTGGGCCTCTGACAAGCTACCCTTGCGCCCACGTCGGCTCCCAACGCAAGTGATCTCCAAAGCAGACCAACCATCCACAATTCTTCCCATCGCATGCATATAACCCCCTGATCAGCAGCCGTTCCCGAGGCGCGTTACCCCATCTCTCAAACCGGAACAAAACATGACGATGACCCAGATCAATCGGGTCTTATGCTCACAAAGGCCTTTGTTCCCCGCCTAAAACTTCTTTCAGTCCACGGCAAATATGTATAAACATTCAGACAAAGAGACCTTTCCGCGCCCCCAGCACAACTGCATAGATAGGGGCTAAGGGCTCTCGATTAGCCGAGCCGGCCAACTCCTCGACTCCACTAACCCCTCATACTCCGGGTCATGCATCTCGGAATACGTCGAATAAGCAAAAGCCCTAAGATGCTCAGCCTCCCGGAGACATTCACCCAGTTCACCGAGCTTGGCGAGGCAGATATCGGCACCCTGCATGGCGACCATGTCTCTGTCGTGGTGATTCATATCAGGAATGCCAGGCTTCTCAGGAACGATTGGGCACCTGCCGTGCAGATCCTCCAGGATCAATGGCACGGTAAGCAGCGGCAGCAGCAGCGGCATCCGCAGCCGATGGGAAGCCGCTGGGTGGGGTTCTCTCGACCAGGGATTCCTGTCGATTCTACACTGAGCCCACGGCCGGGGACGGCCCGCCGCAGCGCTTGGAGCACCAGGGTCGCAGCGAGTTTGCGCCCCCCGTGGATGACGAGCACCCAGAGGTGCTTTTGGCTTTTCTCTGGACATGCCTGGATGGGTGTGGGGCTTCGGGTCTTGGAGTCGACCCGTCTTAAGGTAGGACGGATGAAGTACTTAGGCCGAGGCCAGGAAATTTAACCTGTCTGTCGCTTCTTGGCTATGTGTTTCTTACATTTGTTCCCAAAAAGCATAGCAATCGAATACTAGTTATAAGCATCACTCAATCCTTGATATTGGATGCAGAAATTATTCTCTGGATGTGTAAGACACATAAATACAACAATGTAGTGAAGCAATTCTGCTATAGAATCAGACATAACTCTGATTGGGCTAATAGCCTGCTTGTACGTTTGAAGATCTTGGCAGCCAAGTTACTACTCTACCTACTATAAGTTAGTATCTCCAGCACTGGTATGTTTGAGACAAAGTTTACCTTATCGTAATCTAGAGTTGTACTATCCAAGCTCATCCAAACACGCGAAAACCTATCAACTTCATACTCGGATCTTGTTCTTTTTTCACAAAATCATGTGAAGTTCGAAAAGCGACCAACCTTTTTTGCACGATATAGCTAAGTCTATGCACACAACAAAGCTTCCGCCGATGGAACCAGGAAGGATGGATACCTAGAATTATTCATGAAGTGAAGAAGATTCTTGCTTGGATGGGAGTAATTCATATTAGCTCGATCTTCTCTCTGCCGCCGCGGTCGTGGGGACTACCTGTGGATTGGCAGTCAGTCATCTTCTCGCCTAGCTTCGACAGGTCTTCGAAATCGCTGCCAGGATATAGTGAGGCAAGAGCGTGCTATTATCGCTTTCCGTGTATTGATAGCCCCGCATGAGGGTGCTACTGCTCATCGCCCGGCTGCGTCGCTCTTCCACAAGGAAGGACCTACCTCGATGACCTTCCTTCTGGCATGAGATCCACCCGCGGGCAGCGCTTCCCGTTCGTAGATGTCGTTGGCCTCCAGGCTTACTGTAGCTATTCACCCCCCGGGAAGAGATTTGGCCCAGTATGTATGTGCAGGGCTGCGAAGCTCGCGTGACTCTTGGGCAGGTGATGTGAGTCTTCTGCGAACTCAACCGGGCTGAGCACCGTACGCAAGCCTTTCTCCGGGCTCAAAAATTTGATACTCAACTTTGTCTTCATAGGCATTGAACTTGGAGGTAGTGGAACGTTCCTTTGCTCCCTGTGTATCGAAGACCGACTAATGCCAGTGTAATTCAACTAACAGCGTGATTTCAGAATGTCTCGTCGAACCGGTCAAGGTAATGATCTCTTAGCGAGCTCTCCTAGAGGTGAGCCACTCACTAATTCCATTTTGAACCGGCCATTTCCGCCGTTTTTGTAGCTGCTGTTGCATTGTTGAGGCCGACGGAGCTCGCCGGAATGAGTTGCATATTCACATGACCGATGCCTGCTCCAGGCCCGGAGATTCTTCACCACTTCTGCAATCTCTATATACAGTACCTGTGCCAATGTGGTTGCAAGTAAAGAGCAATAATACTTGACTTTGTGGCCAATAGTGCTGATGTATCAGAACGAGCTTGATGGTTAGCAAATCAATCGACACTATTTCGTTGTTCTTAATCACTTAAGGACTCTGACAAACAGTGATTGACTTTCAAAGCTCTCGTGGGATGCAGTATGATTGGTCGATGCCGGTCAACATCTCTTCAACCCCTCTCGCTCTCCCAGATCAGTACTACCTTGTGTTCAAGGTCTAATAGAATAAGACATTAATTTAGCCACGCCGCGCGTTGGGGTACATACTAGATTCGAATGTCAGCTAACCACATTGGGTTGTACCCCCCCTGTTCAGAAGTGACTACCAAACCCAATCAGTATGCATCACAATCGAAGCCCCAGCTACCAAGTTGCTCCAGCTCGCAGACCCGCAATGAAGGCTGCTCTTGATCTTGGGAAACATGACGCGATGATGTCTCGAGGGACTAGACTGTAGAATGGATTTACGATGTAGTGTCAGTTTAGTCATGATATATCGTGGCGGGAATGTTAAAGCGGCCTTTTGCGACAGGTATGAAAAGGGACGAAGATCTGTTCTACTTCGACATAGATTGGATGAATGAACGCAGTAGACTTGTGTAAAAGCCTGATATGAGTTAATTCTTTATTCCACCCCAATTTGGATTTTACCTCCTTCTTCGTGATTGGCATTCTTTGGATGTCAAGGTATGGATTCTGATCCATCTCCAGTAAGGGAAATTTCAAGAACTGGGTCCCTATTCAGACTCGGCCAAACTGTCGAATATGAATCAACACCGAATTTAATTGTTTCTGCTGCATCAATGTTGCTTCGATTACTCTGAGTATATGGTCTGGGATGGGCACTCGACTCAATACTTTCAATCTCAGACAGCAAGACAAAAAATGGTAATCTTCTAATGCATATCAAGTATAGACACACGTAGTCTTTGAACAGACAGCAAATTTAAGCTAGAAAACAGGAGTATCATGTCAGAGTAACCAGTAGCTCGAAAACTACCCGTGGAAAAATACTCTCTGGCCTAGAGGCTCAAAGGTCTTCTCCACCGGGGAACCGGTTGGCTTCCCGAAAACCAACTGAGCCTTGAGACTCCAGCTTCCAGGGACTTTCCAATGCTCAGTAATGGGAGCATCCAGCATGGGACTATAATGTTGAAGATTACATCCCAGCCCTTCTGCCTCCAGGAGGGCCCAAACTAGGTTGTGTCAGCGGAATGTTGATCGATCTTCCAGACAACGACAATACTTACGTGCAAATTGATGCATGCCATTGGAATGCTCGGACCCTGGAACAAAATTAGCACAACTGTATTTCTAATATTCTGGTTTGATGTCACTTACATTGTGGGAATTTATCCCTGAGCATAGGCCATTTTTCCTCGAGGCGTTTCAGAGGCACCGGGTCTTCGTAGAATAATACCTATTGCCTGGTGATTAGGCCTCATTGACGGTAATGCCAAGCGCATCAGCAGGGCTCACTTACAGTCCCGTATCCAGCACGGTAAATGGCAATCCGTGGCTTGTAGAGCTTATCAAACAACTCCGGGCTCACTGTCGAGGCGGCCACTTCTGCTGCCAGGTCCCATAGCTTCCGATGCTCATCTTTGAGTAGAACCACGAGGCGTGTTGCCTGGCTGTTGAAGGCACTAGGGGTGTGTAGGACCACCTCGTTGATCAGTTCTTCTAATCTCTCATCCGAGATTGTGGATTCGTTGGTAAGAGCATAGATCGTTCGACGGCCTCTGAAGCCGTCGCTCACGGCAGTCGCGAGATTGTGCATGATGTAGTGGAATGGTGCCCGGATAGAGTGATGAGATAAAATAATGACTGGTAGCAGAAGAATTTAGGAGTTTGTGATAATTTTTTTACAAGTGGGTGGGCTACAAGTCTTAAATAGTCCGCGACAAGAGGGACGAAGGAATGCGGAGTATCCACTACAGACCGTGATATACTCAGCCTTGCTTATTCTTTCGTCTGGTGAAGCTTGGTGTCTTCAACAGATGCTCCTCCCGGTACGCAAGAAATGCGCCCGATATTTCTCGTTCTTATCTGCAGTCAGGAAGTCGATCTTGTTTCAGGCGTGTCGGTCTATCTTCCATCGCGTTGAGCAGGTATTCTTGTTTACTTTCTTGACAATAGATCATTTTTGCGCGATCAGCTTAGGGTGTTTTAACACAGCATCCTCTGGAAGTCTGTCTCAATCAATCAGCTAAGAATGGCCTGTTATTCATCTGCAGTAGAACATGATGGCCTCGAGTGATTTGAACTGCCGCACGGGCGATCTGGCACCACCGGGGAGTCGGACATCTATACTTCCGGTTCTGTCGTCGACTTTGACACCGCCGGGTGGTCGGCCAGCTTACTGCCGATCCTTACCACCAATCAAACAGTGCCGGTGAGTCGGGCAACATTACCTCCGATTCTGTCGGTCGATTGGGTCCTAGAGCGTCTGCTCGGTCGTATTCCGAATCACTTCATGCTTTATTTCAAGTTGTGGCGAAATTATGCGTTCGCAATGAGGCGGACTTCATGATAATCTGGTTAGATGTAAATAAGTAGTCTTTTTGTTTTTGTTGAGGAAAATTACCTTCCCTGACCATGAGGACAAAGTCAAACGAGGGTTTCTTTCGACTTCCTCTTTCCGCAGGGAGCCATTGGAGTAACGGCTCACTCTGGTGTGTTCACTCCTCTTCCATTAATGGGTTTTGGGGAAGATAGGAGGTAAGTTGTTGGAGAGTTTGGGAAGAGAAGGCAGGCACACTCAAGTGCTTAATGCGGGGGTGGAACGAGACGGTGAGATATAGAAAGGTGGCTGTGCAACTCCGGGAGATGTGCCCCACATGGTTTTGAAAGTACGAGAACGCTCAACCCTAATTCACCTACGGCTCCTACTCAAACACTTCAATTCTTTCGACCCCATGTTGATTACCCGATTTACTGCTGTTTCCTTGAGACGAGCCTAGCCTCTCAACTAATATGATAAAAACAAATCTAACAGCGACAACCGCGCAACTCGATCTCGGACTCAGTGTGGGATATCAACCCGCCCGGTTTTCTCTCCTTGATCCTCCAAGGGCTGACCGCCGAACTGATGGGGCCTTAGTCTTATCTGGCGCACCGAGTTCAGAAGTCACAACAGGCCTGTGACTGGATGGGATTGTGAAAACTGGCAGCAAAGCGAGTCAATACTGGGAGCGGAGGCGCTGGGTGGTTCAGTACAGGCGCGGCCAAGAGACGCCTCGAAATACTCTCCCGCTCGCCGAGTCAGATAAGGTTATGTGCAGTACACCCCGCATGCATCACGAGTCTCGTGAAGGAAGCTTGTTGTTTGATTAAACATCGGTGTCTGGCAGTGTGGCATGCACGTATGACGGAGTTTAGGATATAAGATTTGTTAACTCCATGAGACAACCGACACAGAAAACACACTCCACCGGCTTTATTGCTCTGATAAAGTCACAATTGCGTTTTTCTTTTTCAAGCCACAGCTCACTGTAGCTCCTACAGCCACTCGCAATCAGTAGTTTTCCTTGTGTGATGTCACCCCTGTTATCATCCCATCTCATGTCATCCGAGTCCACTCTCACACTCCGTGTCCGACTCTTCCCACACATCCCTGCACCATACCTACTACCCTAACATTTGATATCTGCCCACATCCAAACCTCTCCTCCCGTGCTCCCTTCAACCCACACTCTCACCCATGCCCTTCAACAACCCCTCCAAATAAAGAAAATCCTTGAAAGCTTGCTATGGCACAAGCAAATATCAGCCAAGAAGGCACATCAAACTTCACCATCGTCGTAAACTTATGCCCCCACTATGCATGCAGCGCTTCGTAGTCCTTCGTACCAGTATTCTCTTTACTCGAAATCCAGGCTTTCCACATCATCGACCAGGTCTCAAACCTCAGACCAGCGAGGCCGCGGAAATCATCAGTGGCCCGAGGCAGAGGAGGGCGGTGGCCAGGTTAGTGGCTGTCATGGGGGTGGAGGCGTAGTCAGTCTTTTTTGTTTTGTTGGTACAGTGTATTGAAAGGATAAGGAAGGTGCGATGCTGTATGTAGATACAGGAGCGACCGTTGCAATGTTGATGATGTACATGGGTAAAATTGTCGGTGTTGCTTGGTGGAAGTTATATTAATCGCTGGGATGCCAAAAGCCCGAATACGGAAGCCGTAGTCCTCAGACCCTACGCCGCACGCCGAGCGAACTTGCACTAGTTTGCGAAACAAGAGGGAAATACGACTTGACTCCACTACGAACCGAGTTCGGCCGGAAGACACACAGTCTCAATTATATCAAATCTAAGGAGATATAATATGATCGGTCGATCCACCCCAAATCTAGTCCTCCTTCTTCGCCCATGCCGCCGATCCCGTCGGCAGCGCAGTGGACAGATCCAACAACTCATCGTAACCGGGGTAGGTCGACCTATCATCCACGATGTTGACCACCTCAGTATTGTCGACGTACTTCTCGATCCACGACAGCGAGACCACGGTGTGCGCCCGGTTGACGTAGGGCTCCTCGCTGGCCTGCAGCGCCTGGAACTCCGGGTCGTGGTTGACCTTGTTGAGTTCCTCGAAGCTGCGGAAGTAGAATTCGATGGTTACGTCGTGGTCCTATCGGTATTCGATCGTCAGTCTCCGGGGTTGTTCAATGGCAGCCAGGTAAATGGACGAGGCCGGGCTGATATCCTACATCAATCACCCAGCCGCGGTTGTTGCGGCGGCTCATCTCGTCGACGAAGGTCCGATAGGCTGGCGGGGAGTAGCACTATTGTTGTGTGTCAGAAGGGGGGGTTGGGATGCGATACTGGGCCACATGGATTGGATTGGCGCTTACCTGCTGGTAGGCGTAGATACCATGCTTCGCATGCAGCTTGGCCGCTTTGACCACGTAGTCGCGGGCAAAGTCGTGGCCCTCTCCACCCTGGCGGGCTTGCCCTTTGTAGAGTTTGATGGTGAGGCGCAAGAGGCGCTCGGCCTGACGTCCTGTCTGAGTCATTACAGAACCGTAGGAAGAGAATGGAGTGTGTTTTGTCTACTTCTCCAGCATGGGCACAGGTAGCGTTTAAATACTCAATGAGGGTTGGGTAGGGGTGTCCGGAGTTAACGGAGAGAAGCCTTATCTCAGGGGCCCCAAAACCCACCCCCTGGTCAAGCTTTCATATCCGATGTCTCGAAAAAGGCCAAGTGAATGACATATCACATCATAAATCATCAATTGCATGTCATATTTCACATTCGAGGCCCTCTCCCAGAATGGAAACGCCATCTCAACCCCAGCAGGCATGGTTTCGGCGGTAGGCGATGGCACCACAAGATCTCACCATCCGACTTACTAAAAAAAACTAGCGATGGATCTTACGCTTCATCCCGAAGATACTATACAACCAACGCAAATGACCTGGTGGTCAGCACCGTGAACGCCCCCACCTTGATCTGTAGCCCTCCTTCGGCCGTATCCTCCACCACCCACATCTCCTTCTGATTCTGCCGGGCCGTCCACCAGCTCACCGAAAGTCCACTGCGTGCTGACTCCCGGCTGCGAGTACAATGAGAACCGCGCGCCCGTCAAGCACCGCCGCGCGGTTTCCAGTCAGTTCTCCGTCCGGGGCCCAGCACTTCGGCTTTGTCTGCTGCCTCCCTCCATGCTGCATACCAGCGTCGGAAGACCTGGTCTTTGATACGGGACACCAATGTGAAGATTTCGGCAATCCCCCCCTTTCCCCCCTCGTGCGCAGTGAAGCCGAGTAGACGGAGAGCCTCGAAGTTGCAGAAGTCGGAAATCAAGAGACGGAATATGGCGGATTCGTGAGATGGTCAATGCAACGCAAGGACTTGAAACCATCTCTTGAACAAAATCCAGCGGGGGACGCTTTCAACATCTTGAATACGGCGGATAGCTAGATAGCCATCGGAAGGGGTCAGAAGTCGGAACAGTCGAGTCTTATGCTCGACACTCAGGCGCTCTATCGCCGGTTATTGTCAACCACAGGGAGCAGGACTCGAGATCGACGGTGGCGTAGTCTTTTCGTTTTTCTTTCTCATGCCACAACGCCTTTCAGAGCATAGTTCTCGATAAAGAGGTGTCTGCGTTGGCTCTATCGCATCTTACGGGTCCAGCGGGCGCTCGTGGCGGACGGGGCAGGGCAGTCTTGCCCCAAAACCCATGGCTGTTCTCACGCCCGCTGGCGACGAAAATTCCCAATGCGCAATCGCCGTCGTCGCCATCAATCTGTCCGACCACGCGCTCTTGGATCAATCGATAACCGTGAGGGCAGTCCGCGGGTGCGCTGTTGTTTGCGTTGGTGGTTAGGGCAAAGGAGATTCGACCGCCCGCTTCCACATCGGCGATCACGTCTGTCGGATCGATCATCTTCGTCGTCAACCCCGGCAACTTAGTGAATAAGCTGGGATGCTTAGGCTACTAGGGTGAGCAATCTGCAGTCCTTGATCTTGCCGTGATGCTGGGATATCCACCTTTTGAAAGCAATCTTGATTATATTACGGGACTCAACTCAGGGAGTTACGAGCCTGCTTGTTCGATGAAATAGCCCGCTTCCATACTGTTCAGACTGGCCAGCGACCTGCCTAAAGCCATACAAGCTGGCTTCAAAATAATTTGGTATTGCTAGGCCGTCTGTAAGTCTCAATAAGTACTTGCTGGGATCGTGTATATAGCATAGGGTAAGCCCAAGGTGTTCAAGGATTGAATACCAAGACAATACATAGCACGCATGAGATGTAGTCCTCGTCAACAGGAGTGCAGTCGGCAACTCCATTTTCTCTCGATAAACCCCTCCTCTTCTCTTCTCTCTTCTGCTCGATACAAGACCCCCCCCCCAGAAAGCAAAGCAACCACACTACAACCCGCACCGCCTCAATTCCGCAAATACCGACCCCTCCCTCGCCAACAGCCGCCCCGGCGCATCCACCTCCACCACCCTCCCCTGATCCAGCACAGCCACCAGATCCGCCTCCACCAGCGTCTCCACCCGATGCGCCACCATGACCACCGTATGCCCCGCAAGCTCCCGGCGCAGCACCGCCTGCACCCGCCGATCCGCCGCCCCGTCCACCGCGCTCGTCGCCTCGTCCAGCACGACGATCCGCGCCGTGTCCCTGCGCAGGATCGCGCGCGCCAGGCAGAAGAGCTGCTGCTGGCCCGGGGAGAGCGCGAGGTCCTGCATCGACGCGTCCAGCGGGTTGTGATTCTGATCCTGGGCTGTGCTGCGTCCGGCCTTCTCGGCGACAGTGGCCCAGAGGTCGGTTAGGGTGAGTGCGGATTGGATCTGTTGGTCGGAGTATGTCTCAGGGTGGTTGCTGCCCGGTGGTGCCACCCCGCCACCAGGCAGGGTGAGCGTCATGTTCTCGCGGACGGAGCCAGACACGAAGAACGGCTCCTGCGGAATAGTGACGATTCGTTCGCGGAGGCAGGCCCGCGGCACGGACCGGATGTCGAGCCCGTCGATGAGGATTTGTCCTGCGTCGAGGTCGACCAGGCGCAGGAGCGCGGCGAGAAGCGTGCTTTTCCCGCTGCCGGTGCGTCCGCACACCCCGAGTTTTGTGCCCGCGGGGACGCTGAAGGTGACCTCTTGGAGGGAAGGAGGGGCTCCCCGGTCGGCGGTCCAGGCGGCGTTTACCTGTTGGAAGACGATCTCGCCGTGGCGCGGCCAGGTGGTCGGTGGGGCGGTCGCGTCCCCGTCGGTCTCCTGCGGGGTGAGCTGCGCGGTGGACTTGATGCGGGCGATCGCCCCGAGGGAGGTCTCCAGAGTGGTCCAGAAGGTGAAGAGCATCTGGAAGGTGGCGTTGAAGCCGAGGATGCTGTTCAGCGCGAGCCCGATCTGCCCGGCCGAGCTGGACGTGCGCAGCGTGACGGCCAGAGTGACCAAAATCACGGCGAGGGTCCCGATAAGCAGTTGCAGCACCAGGTCAAGCCATCGCTGGATGCAGTAGAGCAGGTAGTACGGTTTCTGGGACTCGTCGAGCAGGTGGTTGCTGCGCATCGTGAACGCGTGCTGCCAGCCGAACGCCCGGACCGTCATCAGCCCCTCGAGCGTCTCCATAAAGTGCGTGTACAGGGGGCTTTTGGCTTCGAGGTCGAGGAACCGCATCTGGCGCGAGGTGCGTAGGTAAATGTTTTGCAAGAGGTACACGAGGCAGATGAGCCCCGGAATGGTCAAGGCCATGTAGCTGGAGCCTGCCGCTATGAGGCCGATCTGGGCCAGTCCATTGGCCAGGGCTGGATTCATGGTTAGACGGCACTCCCATTGGGTTGGACTCGCAGACAGCACCGACCTTGTAGAGTGATGATCATTGAGGCTGGCAGCATGGCGTCGACCAAGGACATGTCCTGGCTAAATAGGTTGAGTATGACCCCGCTATCGATGGTGTCGAAATACGACTGGGTAGCGTGCGTCACGGTGTCGATGAGGGTTTGATGCAGATTGCCACCTGACTTGGGAATGAGATAGATAAACACAATCCTAGGAGTTGGATGGGAATCAGCCACTGGAGGGCTCTAGATGGCGCTGGGTATCCTGACCTCATAGACACGTAGAACGCCGTAAGGCAGCTAGATGCGATCACCGCGTAGACCGCACAAAATACCCCGACACGACCAACTGCGCCAGACGTGTACATTTCCAACCAGATCTCTGCCATGTCAATTAGCCGCGATGCTCGCAGGTCATACATGGCATCAGGAGCCCCGGAACATACGTGGAAGGTAAGTCGTGACGGCAACGAGCGCCACCATGAGCAGCATCATCGAAGAGAGCTTCCACCCAAACGAGCGGGCGTAGTATTTATACACTGCGAGATCCCCGGTCCGCCGGCTCAAGTCACTGACATCGGTCGCGGTCGGTCCCCGGAGCGCCTTCGGCAGCGGTTTGCTTTGCTTGCTTGGCGCAGGAACTTCCTCAGACCGGTCCTGCAACCCAACATCTACGCTCGCAGCCTCGTGCAGCAGCCCCGGTCCTTGCCCGCGGGTGAAGTCCGTCCAGGATCCCTGGTGCGCAATGTGGCCCGATCGGTCCAAGGCAATGACATAATCGGCCAGATGCAGATGTCGGACGGCATGGGTCACCAGAACGACTGTGGACGCATTGCGTCGCAGCAACCCCTCCGGCCCGAACAGATTTTGCACGATCTGCAACTCCGTCTTCGCATCGAGTGCGCTCAAGACATCGTCGAGCAACAGAACGGACCGTCGGCTGTAGAGTGCGCGAGCGAGGGCCTAGGAGGGGCACTATCAATACAGAGGATCGCATCCAAAGGTCACCGCACATGGAAATCCACCTACCACGCGCTGCTTCTGACCGCCACTCAGCGTCACACCCCGGCTGCCGAGCAGAGTATCGTCCATCTGCGGCAGGCGCTTGATGTCGACATCCAGAAGACAGGCCTCCAGTATAGTGGCGTACCAGCCCTCATCCAAGGCGGCCCCGGGGCCGGTGATAGCGTCTCGAAACACGAGGTTCTGCAGCCATGGTGACTGACTGCAGTATGCGATATCTCGGCTGTTGATCTGGATGCTGCCAGGGGTGGAGACAGCCTCGCCCAAGATTGCTTTCAGGAGGGTGCTTTTGCCCGACCCGACAGGACCGACAACGAAGTTAAATGAACCAGGGAGGACTTGCCAGTTGACCTTGTGCAGAACAGCCTCGGATTCTGGCGCCGGTCGTATGTCGGCCTCGTGGAAGGCGACGATGGGCCGATCGATGGACTTTGCGGGCAGGCTTTGCAGGACAAGCCCAGATTTCCCTGGCTCATGGATTGTTGCACCAACTTCGCCATTGGGTTTATCTGCGGCGGATAGATAGGCGTGGATTCGATCGATGCAACCCATTGCCGAGACCAAGGTTGGGTAGGAGGAAAGAAGCTCTCTCGCTGGGTCCGTCAGCAAGGAGATGATGGCCAAGGTCCCGAACGCTTTGTCGGTAGTCAACCGCTGGGACTGAACGGTATAGATAAGAAAGACCAGAAATGGTCCGATCTCCACCGGGATCATCGCTAGTTACTGGTGTTAGTGATACCCTCTCGCAGGATCCTGGTGAGAAGAGGGTGAGACCAACAGATAGTGTTACGCCAGATGCCAAACACCCGAAAGCTCGCCCCGAGATGTAGCTCGCGAAGCCGCTGGCCGTGGATGGTTTGGGCCATGCGCTCGGACAGACCCATCATTTTCATGCTCTTCATGCTTCCGAGGAGGGAGGAAGTCAGCGCGACCCGGCGTTGCACCGCGCCCACCCATGTCTTTTGGGCGGGACCGATCTTTTTGGCCACGTGCAACGATGCATAGAACGCGCCTGAGAAGGACAAAGGCTTAGAATGCAGGGATCATGGCAACGTGAAGAAAAAGGAAGCGGGGGCACTGGTATCGTACGTACCCACTACGGCGATTGTGGGACCAATGCAGATCCACCCGACTTGGCGCTCCAGCAGCCACAATCCAATCGCCAGCTCCACCGTGCGCGCCCAGACCTCAGCGATCTGGCGTAGGCTGAATGCGATCCGGTCCACGTCCGTGCTCATGAGGGTGACAGCGGCGGACTCATCCGGAGCCCGCGCGAGAGCCAGGGTTTTGGCGTAGATCTGCGAGACCATGGCGCCGCGAAACATGGTAATCATGCGATAAAGGCGGTGTTGGTAATGCGCCGTCGAGAGCTATGGGTGGACGGGTGGATGATTGTCAACATTCGCGCTTTTCCCCCCAGCACGTCTGGTGATGGGTGGTAGTGGACTGTACCGCAATTCCCAGGTAAATCAAGCCGGTGGCTGCAATCAGCCCGTAGCCGTCACTCTTATCCCGCGTCAAGTCCGCATCGCTGACATAGCTGATCACCCGGGTGATGAGAAAGGGCTGGGCATACGTGAAGCCAATGAGACACAGTCGGGGGAAAACCGTCAGAAGAAGCGGCCATTTGAGGCAATAGAAGAGGGCGATCACCAAGGAGAAGCGGCGCTCGGATCGATCTAGCGGTGGGGTCAGCCTCACCTCTCGTGGTGGATCCAGGACATATACGTTTCGCCCACGCGACCTGCATGCGCTCATGTAACGGCCCAGCCGACAGCTCCTGATCCACGCGATCGAGGTCACCGAGGGACAGGTTCCTGCGATAGCCGCGAACGAACAACGGGCTCAACCACCAGAAAAAGCTACGATTGATGATCCCACTCGTGGACTCCGGGGGATACTTGCTGCGGAAAGCATCGGAGAGACAGGCGCGCTTGTCAACAGTCTCAAGAACGAGCAGCAGGACCTCGGCCCCCAGAGCAACGGAGGCGACACTCGAGACGGCGGTCAGGTGCCGTCGGAGGTATAGACTTCGAAGCTGGGTTGCATTAAACACACTGTCGAGCAGGAGATAGATGCAGAGGAGCGAGGAGGGACGCTCTGAGCGTGTATGCTCCAGGGTGGAGAGTGCGAGGACGAGGCTGCTTCCCAACCACGACACGGCAGCCGATGCAATGGACGCTGAGGTGGCGGGTCGAATGCTCCACAGCGTCAACAATGCCACTCGGAGGCCCAGGAGGACAATCGCGACCGTCTAAAATTAGGCGACGGGTTATTCAGAGTTCGAGGGGGGTCGTGGGAGGATGGGAAATTGTCTTTATAATTGGGGGGGGGTTTTTTTTTTTCTTGCTTACTGCTTTGCTGTACACCAGAGGGTGAGTGATGGGGGCCTTCTTCGGGCATCGGAGTAATTGGACCAGGCGAGGCGGTGCCAGGAGAATCAGCAGGATTGAAGGAACCAGTCCAAGGATGCTCTGTTCAAATAAGAGGGTGAAGTCGAAATGAACGAGACAGTCGGAAAGCGAAGGACCGAATCTCTGGTCATTACTGCGACAATTGTAGGCCATGAAGGGGAGAGAGGGGTAGGAGGAGGAGGAGGAGGAGGAGGAGGAGGAGGAGAGAGAAAATTAATGGCACGATGGCATTAGGGGGGGAAGAGGGACATCATATAAGATTACAACCAGGAAATTACTGTAAGACTAGGAGGATAAGGATGATAAGACGATTAAACAAGCATGAGTCCTCCGTAATTGCCGACTGCGGCTTGGTAACTTAATACCGGGTATTATATATATACTTGTACTTGCTTAAGTACTGTTGATTCACTTCCCAACTAAGTATCAACCACCACACCCGAGGTCCTCCACATCCTCACATCCATGTCGAGTTTCCCCACGATTTTGACTGAACCGAAATCCTTACCGCTTGGTTATACGCTCAATAACTCATTCAGGGCTTCAACCCGATTCACGCAAATTCCGCATCATGCCATCTTTCAATCTCAAACCCCGATGTATTGTACTGCTTGGCCCACTCGTGGATCTTCCAAAAGTTCCGACAGGTATGCTGGGTGGAGAAGTTGGCCTTCCAGATGGGATACTCGGGCCCCGGGGGTGGCACGCGCGGGGAATGCACAATCACCGAGAGGTCGCTGTGGCACATGAGAGCCTAGTCCGCGAAGGTGGGCCAAGAAATAAGTGATTGCTTTCATTTGCCGAGGAAACACGGATGAATGCAATACCTACCTGCCGCAAGTACTCAATGCAGTGAGTGATCTGGAGAGGAGTTCAGCTGGATGGATGCACTCGAGATCGCGAGATACGCTAGGCTTACTGATGTGCACAATGTATTTCACCGCCGCCTGGTTGGTCGTGTTGTCGTTCCGCCAGTCGACGGGCTGGTAGACATATTTCCGGATGGAGTTCAGACAGTGCAATTGATGGAAGACATCGAGCTGGATGAGAGCGGTGGAATCGTTGACCGTGGCCGGCATAGTGGGCTCGAGGAGCGAGGCCTCCTGCTCCGGGTTCAGTGCCAGAATCCCAACTGAGGTGCATGGAGGTCGTCGGGGTCAGCTAACCATGCGGTGTATGGAACCGGGGGGGGAGGGGGGTCAGAGTGCTTCCTATGGTAGCTCACCATCCACCAAGTGCCGCCACTGCAGATTCACCGCGCCGGTAGGGGGCCCTTCATAGGGACTTGTGTCCTCGCTGCGTTCTCCGGTCCATCGACTCTGTTCAAACCGATACGGCACGTATTCGACTGCCTCCGAGGCAGATGCTACCGCCAATTTCTCAGTTGTTGGGAAGTGACAAGTAAGCCACGCCCGGGGTGGGTGGGGCGACACTCACCGAACTCGAATTCTTGTAAGCCGGACGCCTCGCCGGCTCCCCCGGTATCAGCACCATGATGGGCGTCTGGTAGGGGGTCATCATGCGACATGGCCGGGCAATGCTCGAAGTTGAAGCCCGACCCTTTCCACGGCCGACTGGGATGCACCGGCGGATCAAAGAACACGGACAAGCGATTGTGATAGAAGAGTGTAATAATCCATGTGGTGGCCAGCGCAAGGTGCAAGACCAGAAACAGCACGTTCTGCATCCATGGGGCTGTCCGTCCTGGACGAGCAGACGATGCCCGAAGCGACCGCTGGTGGCTTTTGAAGTCCGTAAGCTCGGTTTCGTTCATTGTGCGTCTGTTTCTCTCGCTTGTGGTGGATATCCACGGTGCCTTTTCTTGCTTTGGGATGGGTGGGAGGTGGGCGGCAGAAGCACTCGACCCACCGGAGCAACAGGAGTACAGTATCAAGGCTCGGAGATGACTGACCGCGGAGAATTGAGATCCGCCATCTTCACGACAGATGAACTAAGCAAATGGAAACAACCAGTGATCTTAGAACAGACTTCAAAGGGCATTGGAATTGCGCGTTTATTACTGGTACTGTACGCCTGTGGGGACGGTATCGTGAACGCAAATACCTAGAATACCTAGTACCCTTTCATTACAGACGATATACAGAAGAGTGTACAGTACCGTACGGTGTGTACAATACGTATTCGGGAGGTCGCATTGATGGTGTGGTTGGCATCAGCACTAATGCACTAGCTAGCAAGTGGCGACCCTGGAAGATGAAACACACTCTGAAAAGCACTGTAGGATGGGTGATAAGGGAGCTCGGATGCCAATGGAATTGCTACGATTCGTGATGATCGCCGGAAAGGGTCGTGCGTGCGGGGAGTGAGCAATTGCACACGGGTCGATCCCCCGACGGAGCATGGCCGGAGTCCCGCTGCGGAGGCAATGCCACGTAGTCTGACCTACTTTATATTACAGCCGGTACGTTATATAGGTTATATCACGTTACGCACCTAATAATACCCCCCCATAACAGTACTGCACAGGCTCGGGTATGTAGGATTGCTGTGTATGTTGAGCGGCTTTGGGCCGGGTAATTCTGCAAGATTATTATACTTATTGAATGAAAATAACAATTTGAACCTATCAAGGTGACAAGCTAGACAGGCAGGAATACTGTAAATGATAGGACTGAGAAAAGAGTTGCAGGTAGTAATCGCGTGCTCTCGTCAGTGTTTCGAAGCAGTGGTAGACCCCGTCCTAGATAAAGTCGACCAGCGCGATTCAAAGAAAAGAGCCTACCAGCTATGATCTGGTCACAAGCTCAAAAAGAAAGAGAACAAAAACAAAATGCACATGCCCAAGCAAGACGAATTCGATGCGGCGCGGTTCCTCGAGGATATTGAACGCACTTGCGCGATTATCCACGCCCCATATTCGGAATCCCACACCCGGGCAAGCCTGGAGGCCTTTGCGACGAGTTTTCAGCGAGGAGCCGTCCTGTGGCGCACGACCAATCGACCGGGAGACGCCTTGAATTATCGCTTCTACGAGCGCCGCGTCACGGACACGGTGGCCGCCGCCGTCAAGGCTGGCCTCCTCGCCGCGGACCACCCGCTGGGAGCCCTGATCACCGCCTGGAGTCGCCTGTACGATGGCACCCCGGAGCAGTCGTGCGACTTCGACGCGCAGCGAGGGCTGGCCAAAGCGTGGGTGTACCTGGGGGGAATGCGGCCCATCGACGACATCCTCGCCGTCGAACCAGTGCCCGAGTCCATCCGTCGACATGGGCCCGTCTTCCACAGCCTCGGGCTCGAGTGGGTTCGGCATATGGCGGCCGACTACACCTCCCACACAGTGAACATCTACTTTCGGGCCCCCGGGCCCTTGAAGCTGGAGCAGGCCGATCGCTACGTGCAGCTCGCCCATCCGGCCGGGGCGCTGGAGCCCGACGAGGTCGAGCAGATGCGTCTCTCACTGAATCCGCAGGGCTTTACCTTCGCTGTGACGATGGACTATGGCACCGGGGATATCAAGCGTGTGGCCTTCTACGCGCTGAAGCTCGAGCTCGCCAGGTGCCTGCACATCGACCCGCGTCTGGACCGGTTTTTCACTGGCACGCCGTCCTACGACGAGGAGACGATGAACGCCATCGCCTGGTCGTTTGGGAATCACGGCAGCCGCTACATCAAGGCCGAGCGGAGCTACTGTGGTCAGCTCGTGCCCCTGCTCCGGGACTGGAATAGTGCGATGACCTCTTAGACTGTGAGATGGCAGGCAATTCATAACTTATTTGAATATATGCAGGCGGTCTGTATCACTTCCCGCAATTATCTCAATTCTGCAATGTATTTATTGGGGTACCGTGAACTCAACCGTACGGGTTCAGCAGTTGTGGCTTGTGACCGTAACCTATGGAGTACACCATTCCCAAGCATGTCAAGATCATGAGCCCCCAAGATACTACAGCTAAATATCTGGGTCGACATTTTGTAAGACATAGTATAGCATAGCATGCGCGCGAGAGATTACGGTGAAGCCCAGCACTCACCACCGCGGGACCATAAAAAGTCGCGACTCGTCAGGGTGGAGGTCCAAATCCTGCGGTTTGGTTTCCTGTGGATGCGGTTAGCTCATTGTGTCGCGCGATGCACAGAGAAAATCTAATCGAAATACGAAGTTCTGAGTCAATAGCTTACCAACATCTGCCTCTTAGCCTCCTCCGACGCGGCGGTAATGGACTCGGTGAGCGCGGACGCAGGCAACGAGGCCCAGCCATTCAAGCAGATCTCGTCGACGCGCGGGCTCTCGCCCGCCGCCGCCATCGGCGCGAGGCGCAATTGTAGCAACGCGCACTCGAATTTCCGGAGGACCTCCTCGACAGTGGGGATCGCAACGATAGCCGGATCGAAGATTGCTTCGACCTGCACGCTTGCTGGACCTAGCGTGCAGCTCAGCCGGAACGGCAAATTTACGGCTAGCTGGCCCCAGAGTAAGGGTAGGGGTAGTGCGCTCTGGGCTGTCGTCCCCGCCGTCGACGATGGAGCCGCAACCTCCAGCTTGGGCAAGAGGTTCAATCGCACGGCGCTCATGCAGAGACCCATGATCTCTGGGCTGATCCGGGCGATGTTGCGGAAGTGGAACTGCTCATATGCGGTGATCGCGGCCGTGTCGGCTTGGATTTGACGGCACAGGGTCCCAACGGTCTGCCCCGAGAGAACACGGATGCGCAGCGGGTATGCGGTCATGGTGGGTGCGATCAGATCCCCGACCCCGGGCAGATCGGCGCAGCGCCCGTGGCCGAAGATGCCCAGGATGACGTCGGAGCAGTGCAGGATCTCGGCGAAGGTGACAGCCCAGGCGGCGTTGACCAAGGTGGATAGTGCCATTGGCCCAGGGGACTGGCCATCGAGTCGGACCCGCCGTGTGAGAAGGGTGTCACAATTCACGGGCTGGCTTTTGTCCATAGCGACAGGGGGAAAAGGTCGCGTATCTACCCCCTTCAGATGGTCCGTCCAGAATCGGGTGGCGGCGTCGCGATCCATTGCCACGATCTGCTGAATGAATGTCTTGTACTTGAGCCCTGGGGGTGAAGGAGGGGGGCACCCGTCAGATACATACGCTTGTCGCAGCGCCAAGAACAGCTGCCACAGCGACCAGGCGTCGTAGCCCGCATGATTGACCGTCATTACCAGGTATTTGCCTTGGGTTTGCCCATCCTTCACGATCCCTAGTCGGAAGAGCGGGTCGCCTGTTCCGACGATGTGTTTGTGCTCTTCCTCCAGGTAATGTTGGAGGGATGTCCCCCGGCGCGAGGCGAGGCCAGCTCCGGTCTTGGCAACCACCTGGACATAGCCCGACCCCGAGGGATGGCGAATCATGCGAGTCCGCAGGATCTCATGAGTTTGGGCCAACCGATCCCACGCGCGGGCAAAGCGCTCCTCGTCCAGCATGGCGGGGAGCGCGTACACGGCCTCCATTTGGAAGGACCGCGAAGTGATTCCGGCGTGGATGGAAAAGATCTGCTGTGCGGTGGCGGGATAGATGTCCTCCACTTCAGCGACAGGCACCTGACAGTCATTGCTGGCCTTGTGGAGCAAAACCTCCCGCTCGGAATCGAGGAGAAGAGAGAAGGCAGGCAAATCGTGCGCCACACTGATCTGGGGCTCGGCAACAGAATTAGAGGCCGCTGCGGCTGCCATATCTGCTAAGAGAGGGTGCAGGAGGACCTGGTTGACCGTCAGATGGAGTCCTCGCTTGCCAACCTGGGAGACCAGCTCCATGGCGAGGATCGAGCTGCCGCCTAGACTGAAGAAATTATCCTTCGGTCCAATCTCCATGGCTCTAAGAACGGCAGCCCATGCGTCGCGGAGCTGTTGCTCAGGACCAGTCAAAGTTAGGGCTCGGGCATCGGTTGAAGAGGGGCCCGTGAAACGTCTCGCCTCGCTTGCGGGAAGTTGCGCGAGGATGGCTAGCAGTCGCTCGCGATCCGTCTTGCCATTGACAGTGACTGGCACACTGCGTATGGGGATGTACAAGGACGGAATGGCATACGCTGGAAGTGAAGCGCGCAATCGGGAACGCATGGCGACCACCATGGCGTCAAACCGTCTCTGCTCGGTGGGTGAGGTCTGCACCACCGCCGGCCGTGAGCCCCGGTCCCAGTCTAGATATCCAAGAGAAGGCTCGTCATGAACCCCGATGACCGCCATCAGGACAGGGCCACGCTTCTCCCCGGACTCTCCGCCGCCGGTATGCCCAGCGATTAAAATAGCGAGGACACAGAAAACATCCTCTCGCAAACACTGCAGTTCCGCCTGCAGCCGAGCCTCGACTTCCCCTAATTCTAGCCGCTGCCCGTTGACCTTGACCTGACTATCCTGGCGGCCTCGAAACCACAGCTTCCCCTGCTCGTCATATCGGGCCATGTCGCCCGTGCGGTACAGCCGACCGACCGGGTCGACGTTCAGGGCACGCATCCACGCCGGGGGCGCGATGAAGAACTCCCGCGAGCGCGCCCGGTCGGCCAGGTATCCGCGGCCCACGATGCTGCCCTCAATGACGAGCTCGCCCGTCTCACCGCTACCGCACAGCCGGTTGGGGTCGTCTCGATCGACAATCCACAGCCGGCAGCCCGACGGGGCGCCCAAATCCGTTTCGGAGTGCGCGCCGCGCACGACGGCGGCAACCACAGCGCATTCGCAGGGCCCGTACACTCCGTAGACTTCGAAGGACTGAACCAGTTGCCGGACAGTGTGCTCTTTGGGAGTTTCCCCACCAGTCAGGACCACGCGCAGTGTGGGAACCTGATGTAGATCGAGCGAAGGCAAGAGGGACTGTGTGAAGAAGGCGTGCGTCACGCGCATCCGGACCATGCTCGCCACAGGCGCATTCATCCGCTCGTCCTCTGAAGGGACGCAAATGCACCCGCCACAGAGCAAGGTGAAGACAATCTCCAGGACGGCGATGTCGAAGGAATAGGCACTGAACTGAAACATCCGCACGCGGGGATCGAGTTGCACCGTTTTGATGAATTCTAGGGCACTGGTGCAGAGGCTCCGATGCTCCACCACTGCTCCCTTGGGGGCGCCTGTTGATCCTGAGGTGAAGGCGACGTAGGCAACGTTATGGGGGCCACATCTCGCCGTTGAGCCTGAGCCCAATGGTGATACTGATACCTCCGGGGCTCCCTCGCCGCTACCGGAGGACGAAGAGCACTGGGCCAAAAAGTCATGGTCAACCACCACAACGTGAGCGCCACGGAGGAGATGGCCAGAGACTGCCACGCAGGGAGCAGAAGCCAGGACAATCGGCGACTGGGCTTGGTCTAGCACCTGCCGCAGCCTGTGCTCCGGGGTGGAGACCGCCAGGAGAATCACGCCTCCGCCCGCCTTGAGCACGCCCAAGAGAGCCACAATCATCCATTGGGACTTGGCAAAGAGTATCGGGACCAGGACCTCGGCCTGTACCCCGTGCGCAATCAGGTAGTCCGCCAAGCGTGTCGAGAGGGCATTTAACTCCCCGTACGTCATCTCGCCATCCCAGGAACTGATTGCTGGCGCGTCGGGATGGGCACGGCACTGCGCACCGATCAGGTCATGTGCACAGTAATCATGACTGACAGGAGGGGTCAAATTGGTAGTCCAGAAAGGCAAGTGTGGTTGGTACTCCCCCATGTTGGCATGTGGTGCTTGGAATGGGCTCTCTGCGACGACTCGTAATAACACGAAGAGATTGACCGCGAGTATGAGACTGACTGATAGCGGACTGTCTATCTTCAAAGCTGATTGCAGGGATTCACCAAGTATGATCGCATGCGCTGTGTCTTTCAGCCAGCCGAGTCACTTAGCCGGATGGTGTGCTGGACTAAAGAGGTGAAACCTGTCGATACCACCCACTGTGCCACAAGACGTGGAAATTCGTGTCTGCTCGAAGGGAATTTGTTCCCGCCAATCGGCCTCCCGTCAGATGTTGTATGGTATACGTAGGAATACTACCCCGCTTCTTTCAACAACCAGGGTCACTCATATGAATAAGAATACTAGCAAGTGATAGGTTACCGGTGGAATCAAGGCTATACTGATGAATTGTTAGTGAATCCCCCGCATGTCACGATATCCCGCGTAGAGAGAGATCGAGGTCATCACTGGTAGATAAGTACTGGATAATTCGATCGATAAATTAGCACGACGCACGGACGGGGCGAGGCGTGGCCAATCTTCAACTTACTAAAATACTACGGTAACTGCTAGGTAACTTGGGTATTACTTAGTATGTACTAAGTTAGCCACGCTGCAGCCATCTTGCTCCGAGACTGTGCCAAGCGACCAATGGCAGGGCTGTCAAAGCTTATCAGACAACAAGCAATCATTCACTTCTTCCGTCTAGGTTGAATCAGGGAATGGGTAAACAGGCTGGTCGCATACCGATACCGTACAGTACAGGACTGTCCCTCATCTTTGTTACCATACTATGCCATACCGTACCGAAACATGATCAAGTACAACTTGATTAAATACAGATCACATACAGGACAGTATTATGATATCCCTGAACATAACAGCCGTCCTTTGGCATATGGTGTGGTCTGAATCCTGCTTTCCCTGCACAATCTGCAGGACTGAAGAGAGGTAGCTGGCCCCGCCCTGGGGCCAAACGGCTTGGTAGCAAGCGGTCCGATGATCTCAACAACCCACAGATCCCTAGACTCCTGCTAGCCCTTAAGCCCCAACACCCTCCCAGGACCATCTAATCATCCACCCATTCACCCTTCTGCCCATTTCTTTCACTCGCCATTTCAGCACTATGCATCCAGACGAGGAATCTCTGTTGAAAGGCACAGAGGACCAGGAAGAGGCAGAGACCTCCTCGTGTCCGCCGGGGGACGAGACCCCCCCCGTCATGGCGCATCACCAGCCCCGCAGCCATCTCCTCTGGGCATTGCTTCCCGGCATGCTGAACTCTCTCGTACTGCTCGGCAACATCTTCTTCTTCCTGTTCGTGGTCAACAAGATCCTCACCGTGAAAGGCTACTGCCCTCGGGTCCCTTACTGTAAGTGATGAGCCCTGCCAGCGATGTCCCCTGAGAGGGGTGAGAAACGCCCACCGAAAATAACCATCCGAGCTCTAGCCCCCGCCAGTGCCTCGCTGAGCTGGGTCTCCACCCCGGTGGATTACGACGCCGCCAATCCCTTCGCTGGGGAACTGGGTTCCCTGGAATTGAATCGTGCATGGGAGGAGCTCAAAATCCGTAAGTAACCACCGGCGATGCTGTGCGGGTAGGACCGCACAAGTCCAAGCGCCAGCCCTAACTCGCACCTTATTCTTCCAGACGAGATCTTCCGGGCCTCGGAGGAAGATCTTCGGAGTGTCAACGCGTTGAATCCCAACTCCTTGCGCATGGAGCATGGCGGGTATATGGCGATCCTGCGGGTCTACCATGAGATTCATTGCTTGGTACGTTCCCTGCTGTTACCCTGTCTTTCCTCTCACGGATATCGGGTAACCATGAGGGGGGTGGTAGGATTGGATTAAGCGCGAATGGAAAGTCGAGAAGCCCGAGATGATGGACCACCTGGGTAAGTGTTTCACTCCCACGTACCGGAGACTGTACGATGGGCTCTACTGACATCCATTCGGGGGTGTCTCAGATCACTGCTTGATTGCTCTTCGCGACGGGGCCATGTGCCGGGCGGACCTGTCGGTGGGATCGCTGTACTGGTGGCCGGAAGAGGAGCACCGACGCATTCGGCGCCCCCCCGCCCAGCGGCGCTGCGTTAACTGGGACAGCCTCCAGACCTGGCTGCGGCCCAAGCGGCTGCAGTTCTACGGTGGAGTGGCTGAAGCTCCTATCAAGCCGGATGGGTCGAAGGTGGATGTCGTCTTGGGGGATCATTTGCATACTCTGGAGGATTTGAGCGCGATCCCCTGAGGGTGTGCTTCATTGGTGTCAATCTCGGTCTGGCTAGATCTTGGATTCATCCTTTCCGCCACGCCCGTGTCTTTTGTTCTGTGAGTAGGGAGCGAAAGTGGGTAGCAAAGGGGTGTGCGTAGCTTGGATGTGACTGCGCTATTGCTGTAGGCTCTTCCAATAAAACGGAGCTCGAAATCCACGGGGATTGCACCATGAGGTGCCGTTCATTGAAGCCCAATCAGAAAGTATTATGGACGGTCTTCTGTCCCTGATTTCGGGGATTGTCTACACATAGTGCTATCGCAGATAGGAGGAAATGAGAGCCTGAAATAATACTGGTTCACTGATGGGAACCCCCCTTCGGTGAATAGCCCGAGTGCCCGAGTTGCATTGGTGGCATCCATCAGCACATAAAACAATCAGATCCAAACCGAGGGCCGCAGAATAAAGGGGCTTGTATCACCAGTGGGTCCGCATCTCTACTCACTGGATGGATCAATATACTGCGGAAAGGAGGGGAAGCCGGCCCCTGTGCTTCGTGGACGATACGAGAGACCACGGTCTCACGCGATTTTTACCCAGAAACCAATCGCAGGATTACAAACCTAGTCTCGTCTCGTCGTCATGTCCGGCCCACTATGCCGTCCCCCTCTTGAGTTGGTTCCGATGTGAAGGAGTGCGTCGGAAATGGGCTGATGCCGCCAGACTTTGCAGACACCTGGCTGCCCCGAATAGTATAAGGGTCAGCCAGATTCTCCTTCCTCGCCGGTCACCCGATCCCCTCACGCCATCTTTTTCATTTCTTGTCATTTTCTGACTCTATTCAACACCATGTCCGGTCAATCGCTCGATCTCTCCGCCTATACACGTGGCTGCGTCGCGCAGCAAGAGGCGTTTGCTCAAGCGCTGCTGCGGGAACTCACACAGTTCGGCTTTGTGAAGCTGGTTCACCATGGCCTCTCGGACGAGGATGTTGGCGCTCTCTTCGACTGGGTTCGTAGACACTCCTTGGAGAACAGGGCTGAGAAACATCTCCACTAACAGAGCCATCTGCCCTTTTTCGCTTTGGTAGACGCGGAAATTCTTCGCTCTGCCTAGCTCGGAAAAAGTGCGACTCGCGCATCCCGCGGGCCCTGAGCCTCAGCGGGGCTGGAGTTGCGTGGGCGCGGAGAGGACCTCCAAGCTTTACCGCGCGGGGCTCGGCGAGACGAACATTGACGAAGAGCGATTCGATGCGCGGGTGAGATTATGGTGTCTTTTTTCCGTTCTTTATCCTGTCCATCCTCCGCGCTGCCCCCCCCTTCCCCCTCTCTCTCCTGGCTTTTCTCTCTTGCCCAACACCTTATTTTTGTTGATGCTGATGACAAAACCCACTACATGGTAGGAGCATTTTGACCTCGGACCCCCCGACGACAGAGCATGGCCTAACCGGTGGCCAGATGAGCGTTGTCTGCCGGGCTTTCAGGAGTTCCTGGAGCGGTACTACCGCAACTGCGCGGCGGTCAGCTCAGTGGTGCTCGCGGCGCTCGAGCAGGCGCTGGGGCTGCCCGCCGGGGCCTTTCGCGAACGTTGTACGCACACGGCGAGCGAGCTCCGTTTGAACCACTACCCGGCCATCGAGGTCGAGGAGCTGCGACGCGGAGTCGTCAACCGCATATGGCCGCACACCGACTTGGGGGTCATCACCTGCCTGTTTCAGGATGGCACGGGGGGGCTCGAGATGGAGGACCGCGCCAGCACGGCGGCCGGACACAAGCAGGCGTTCCTCCCCGTGGCCCAGGGACCCGAGGGGGCGCCGGCGGAGATGATCGTCAGCATCAGTGAGACGCTGCAGCGTTGGACCAATGGTCGACTGCCGGCCGCGGTGCATCGGGTCGAGCTCGCGCCACATCTGAAGACGCTGCAGCAGGGGCTGGTCCCGCAGCGCTTCTCCAACGCGTTTTTCGTCAAGGCCGACCGCGAGGTCTCCGTCGCGCCGCTCCCTCAGTTTCTCGCACCGAAGACACCCGCCCTGTATGAGGAGATGTCAGCATTGGAGTATCATCGCTTTCGGGTTGCCCAGGCCTATCGTGGGTGACGACCGGGCATTCGCCTCGAGTGTTGTTAGGGTTGCGATGTGGGCTGGTGTTCTTCGGTGCCCGTACCTGATCTCGTATCTTGAAATACCAGACCCACAGTCGTACAGTACAGGCAATGTGAAATGGGAACCTGCTGTACTGTACCTGCAATGTACATACAGCATAAACATCAACTCGGACAGTGCTGGGTGCCGCTTGGAATATATTGCGAGTGGCTCCAGCTTCAGTATAATCACGTATCCACTCCTACACGCCTGTCATGATTCACTCGTGCGCATCCGACCGTCTTGCACGAATGTTCCCCCAACGATGCCCAAATTAACCATCACCATCCTCGGCTGCGGTATCGTATCTCTCCATTCCTTCCTTTCCGTCTTGGCCTTCGCATGTCCACCAGAGACAGACTGATTGATTCCCGAACCCCCCAGTGTACGGGAACCCTAGGCACCTGCATCATCGACGGCCTCCAAATCCCCTTGACCTCAACAGTTGAGATTGAGTTCATCGTGCAAAACCTTCAGCCGAACAGCAGCACAGCAGTTCCTCAAGACAAATCCCAATTTTTAAGAGATTCTAGTAAGAAAGTTGTTGTTGAAGTCCAGACAAACGCAGAACTACCCGCAGACATATATTTGGTAAAGGTGATCAGATGGAATGCAAAAGTGTAGCTAACCCGTCTTTTATGGGGATATAAAAATCCGTTGTTCGTTACTCCAAGCCCAAGAGTAAGATATGTATCCAAAATGTATTCGATTGGATTCCGCGTCTTTTTCCCAGGGCTACTTGACGTACAACAATTCTAAAGGTATAAAGGTATGAGGGTTGAGAAAAAACATCTTGATATTCTTTTGAGAGTGGCAAAATCAATCAATCAAGTACATAAGTTTATACCATCTTCGACTCTTAAAAGCAACCGAGCATTTGTTGTCAACTTATTAGATGTTCAAATGTTAGAGAATCCAAATGAGCAAGCTTTATTGTGAAGGGATGTAAGGACGATGGTTCTCCGCCACCCAGAGATGGATCAGACATTCATCGCCCGCTTCAATTCCTCACAATCCCTTGACTCTTGCACGAAGTGATGGAATGGGCCGGGCGCCTGGTACAGCGTCCGTGGCGGACCATACTCCTCGACCATACCCTGGGAGAGCACCACCACGCGGTCAAAGTCGACGACGGTGGCCAGCCGGTGGGCGATCACGATCAGCGTGCGCTCCGTGAAGGCGTCACGGATCCCCCGTTGAATCAGCGCGTCCGTCGCCGGGTCGATGGCGCTGGTTGCCTCGTCCAGCACCACGATCCGGGTCTGTGTGATCAGCGCCCGCGCCAGACACAGGATCTGTCGCTGGCCTTGGGACAGGTTGGCTCCGCCCGGGGAGATGGGATGGTTGAGCACTGCCGCCGATGCGGCAGCATCTTCGCGCGCGGGGCCCAGGGAGAAGTGCACGCGCTGCAGCGCGGCGTGCAGCTCCCCGTCGCTGTAGTGGCCGAACGGGTCGAGATTACTGCGCACGGTGCCCGAGTAGAGCACGGGGTCCTGCGGGACCAGCGCAATGCGCGAGCGCAGAGTTGTCAGGGGCACAGAGGCGATGTCGATGCCATCGATCGTGATATGGCCTCCGCCGCCACCGCCGGCCTCCAGAACCCGAAGCAGAGCCAGCGCCAGCGTCGACTTGCCGGCCCCCGTGCGGCCGATCACGCCCACGTGCATGCGCGGGCCTATCTGGAGGTTGATGTCGCGCAGCACCCAGGGCAGTTCGTTAGCGTATCTGATGGAGAGGTTGTGGATGGCGATCGCCCCCGTGGCTGGCCAGTCGGGGGCTGTAGAGCGCCCTCCGAGGTGATTCTCCGTCTCGATGCTGGCAAATTCAACCACCCGCTCCGTGGAGCTCATGTTGAGCTGCAGGCTGATGACGCGGCGCATCAGGTCCTCCAGCATCTTGCTGTACTCCAGGCTCACGGTGAGGATGAAACCGGCCAACGGGGCGTCGACGTGCTTGGCGGCCACTGCCACGACAATCAGGAAGCCGAACAATGCGCCAATGATCCCAATGCGCCAGGCCGCCCACTGCGTGATCAGCGCAAACGCCCAGTGCGTACGTGCCTGGTTGTCGATCAGCCACAGCATGCGCTCCGCGTATCGCCCGGCCACCCCGAACGCGCGCAGGGTTCCCAGCCCCGCCAGACAGGACCGGTGTAGCTCGAAAATCGGCGACTTGGCCGTGGCTTCGAGGCGCTTGACGTCGCGGGCCGCGGGCAGGAACCGGCGCACATATAACAAACACCCGCCAACCATCGCCAGCTCCAGCACAATCACCCACGCGGACACCAGCACCCCGGAGATACAGATGATCGCCAGCGCGGTAGCTGCCGACAGCAGCGTGTGCGTGTCTCCGGGGACACGCGAGTCGACCAGGGCAAAGTCCGCCGTCAGCCGGTTGAGGATCTGGCCGGTGGGCACCGTGTTCAGCCACCGCAGCGGCGCGTGCAGGATCGCATCGAGCATCGAGTGAAACAAGCGGTGGGAGGCGTTGAGGGCCGCCACATAGACAAACCCGCACTTGCCGGCCTCGAGCACGCTGGCCGACAGCGAGATCACCACGTAGATGGTGAGATAGTAGTTCAGCCGCAGATCCGGTGGCCCCAGCTGGATGGCTGGGGAGCCGAGCCTCTCGTTGAACTGCGTCCAGACCTTCATCCACCACCCGCGGCCAAACAGGGCCAGTTGGGAGGCAATGACGACCAGAATGGCCAGTACCCAGACCAGCGTACCCCCTGAGTGCGCGATGTACTGGCTATAGACGCGCCACTTCACCGAGCCACGCTCGCGGAACTCGTCGCGAATCCAAGGAGACGTTCCAGTGGGACCAGGCTTGCCCTCAGCATCTCCGCAGGAATTTTCAAAGTGCATCATATTTTCGTATCTTAGCGCCTCCTCTGGAGCTACGGCAGGCACCCCGACTGCGTGGCCGGGATGATGAGTCTCCCGTGGACCCAGAAATTGGATCTGGGGAGACGGGACTCTGGCCCCATGGCATTGACCGCTGTCCCGGATACGAAGTACGTACGAGGCATGGGGCAGGCAAAGGGCTTCATGGTGGGTCACCAAGAGAATGGTCCGACCTTGTCCCAGGGGTCCTCGGAGACCCATCTCCAGCAGGACCTGCGCGATGCCCACGTCGACCGCACTGAAGATGTCATCCAGCACTAAAATCCCCGCCCGCGAGTACAAGGCTCTCGCCAACCCGAGCCGCCATCGCTGGCCTCCGCTCAGATTGATGCCCTGGACGCCGACCTCAGTGAGATCGGACCGCTCCATCTGCTGCAGATCTTGGACCAGCGCTGCCGCCCGGAGGGTCTCTTCGTACCGGGCAGGATTCATGGGCAAGCCGAAAAGGATATTCTCGCGCACCGTGGCGTTCTCAATCCACGGCGGCTGCGGCAGGTAAGCGAGCAAGGCATCAAGCACCCAGTCATCTGCCTTAGTGAGGGCTTGCCCCAGCGGGTTGGATGGAACATAAACCTTTCCGGCGCGGATCTCCGCCTCGTTAACAATGGCAGCCAGGAGCAGGCTCTTCCCCGATCCACTTTTCCCCTGGATCAGACTTAGTTCGCCTTTAGGGAAGACTGCATTCACTTCCCGCAGCTGGAAGTGCTGATTCGCATCTTTGCGCGGGGACGGGCCACCGTCGTGCAGCGGCTGCTCGACCGGCCACGCAATCGTAGCCCGCTCAATCACAATCTCCCCTTTCTCTGCGGGCAGCACCGCCCTGGGCTGCTCTGTCTGGCGCAGCAGACGCTCGATTCGCCGGCAGCTGACGGCGGCGTCGAAACCCTGGGTCAGCGCGAAAGGGATGACCGAGAGGGCGACCTCGAGGTTGCCAAAGACGGCGAGCGCCGTGAAGGCCACGGAGGGGGCGAGGGAGCCGTGGAGCCATGCGTACGCGGCCAGGGCAATGACAGAGAGTAGGATCGGCGAGGAGATCCAGAACAGACGCAGGATGATTGTCCAGAGGAAGACGCGGCGCTGGTGGTGCAACTCGCGCGCGCGAATGGCCATCAAGCGGGCCTGCCACTGCCGCTCGCTGGCCGCGCACTTGATCTGTCGGATTCCCTGCAGCGTTTCGCTGGCCGCGGTCACTTTGGCGTCTCTCTGAACCATTAGCCCTGCTTGAGCTTGCCCGTAGGCGCGCGAGGCGAGCAGGTTCAGCGGCATGAGCACGACGGGCGCCAGTAGGCCCAGCACGAAGGGGATCCAGCCGATCAGCCGCACCAGCGCAGTCCCTGCCACCAGCAGGCTGATCCCAATGCCCAGGAAGATGTACGTCCGGGCAACGAACTCCACTACCCGCGTCGCGTCCACCCCGAGCAGGTTGACAATGCCCTGCTCCGCGCTCAGCCGGGGCCGGGGTTTAGGCTGGGGCCGGGTCGTCGCCGCGCGGGATTGGGCATCGGAGGACATCTCGAGCAAGGGAACCGGCTCGGTGTCAATTTCTGTGCCCTCATCATCGGACAACAGCCCCGTTAGATCAACATGCTCTGCATCATCTTCGGCCTTGGGCGCCTTTCCTACCCCGACCGTCTCCGTCGATTCGTTCTCACTCTCCTCATTCGGGGTCCTGATGTCCTTCAGGCTTAGAGACTTGAGAAAGATCAAGGCAGACAGCTGCGATCGCAAGGGAATTTCTAGCAGCGATCCCGTGGCCCAATTGAGTCTGGAGGCGCTCACGCCACGCGTAAGTTTCAACTTCTTCTCTGACTCCAAGATCATCCATCTTCATCCCCTAGGGGACAGAGAGAGAGCATACCGAGTATCCACAAACACCAACACTACCCGCGAAAGCCCCATGGCAATTGCCCACATGAGCAATTCTGTCGTGACACGAGAGACATCTCCCTGGCCCTCAAGGATCCGGAGAATGTGGAAGAGGCAGAACTGGGGGGCGTAGGCGACCACGTTCTGCACGGCGACCAGGAACCACTGCCACCAGAAGACGCGACGATGGGCGCGATAGAGCTGCAACCACAGCGGCGCGGCGAGATCCTTAGCCGCAGACGACTCAAAGTGAGACGTCAGGTGTTGGGACCGATTCTTCTGGTCGACGACCGCCAGGTCATGAAACCCGATTTGCGCGCCGTCGCGCGGATGGTCGAGTAGGGCGTTGATTCAGGAGAATGTGTATCTATATTCCCTCGCTTACAATTAGGCACAGTTTTCTAATCATCGTGCAGCAGCAAAGAGAGGAATGGCATCGTAGGCCCGACCTTTGGAGGAGTGAGACGGTGAATTGACCGTCGACAATGCTACCATTCCGGTATACGGCGGGCCGCCGGTGCATGGACAGGGAGCTCAGGATGACGGCAGAGCCGAGCGCCATTTGCACGCTGAGGTCAATCCATTGCGTCCGGAGACATTTGGAAATCACTTGCTGGGGATCATATCTGGCACTCAGCGCAAGCAATCTTGGACTCAGGTTGAACAGTAGCAGGCTGGCGGAGAGGCCGATATAAATCCCCGTCCGGAAGGTCTGCCGTGGGTGCTTGGCGTGAACGAGAAAGATGCATTGTCCCAAGATCAAGATCTCCAGCGGCATGAAATCAGTTAGCTAGAATCCTTTATTATAAGCCGCGCGAGCTGGACAGAAAACCATCATACCCATGGCATCGAATGCAGATACGTGAGGACCGACCCGTGCGGTGACAGACGTGTTGTCAATGCTGTGTAGAAAGTCATCCCCGTCGACACAACAGCTCCAACCAAAGCGAAGAAGCACAGATACGTCTTGGGCATCATGGTAGTGTACCGCGCAGCAGAAGAGGGCGTAGCTTGTCCATCTGGATCTTTGTATAGAGTGCCCCGTGGTGCATGCGCAGTCGAACCCGCGGATTCCAGTCGGGCCAGTAGAGTCAGAGCGACAATCGCCGAGTTGACGATGAAAGAGACGATTAGTTGAGATGTGGTCGTCATGAACACGCGCAGGGCAACGGTCATGATTGATGCGCACCACTGCCAATACTTGCTTGCTGCTTGACAGCCGATCAAGCTTTCAACAAACCAGTCCACGGTGGGTAGTATTCGATGCTCTTAGGCTTCAGCCTCTAAGGTCTGGCGTAGTGTACAATCGGACCGGTTTTTCCAGCCGGATGCCTTGCCTTTTCTCGGTTTCTCGAAGACTTGACCCATGTCCTCTGAGCGAGAAGGTGGGCAGTCGCAAAGACCCTGAACCCCAGGAGCTCCCCGCCCCGCACCCGTGTTTGATGCGCCAGGAAACGAGGTCCAACGCTAGATGGTGGGCGGTCAGGTGCAGAACCTGGCCGTTAGGGGTGGTAACCAGCTCCCCGGCTAGGATCGGTCCTGTGGTAATATTGATGCTGGAATGCGTGCGGCGAATCATGGCTCTCAGCAAATCCTGACTATCGGCCTCATCTTGATAGCCCCACAGCATATATGATTGGGACACGTCCGGGGAGACCCATTGCCGCCAGCGGCCATGGTCGTCCTGGGTGAACCTTGCCCGCAGCATTGGGTGGCGCTGGACAAGAGCGTCGACCGCAATGCGAAGTTCCGCCATGTCCAGAGTTCTTCGAAGCGTGAGCGTGTGGCTGAGCTGGTACGATGAATTTCCGTCGGGATACAGCTCGAAGAACCGCGCTTGAATCGGCGAGAGCAGGAACCAATTCTCTTCAGCCGCGGCCGTCGCTGCATCCCCGGACACACCCGTATCCGCGGTGGTGGCACTCGTACCCGGGTCAGAGACGCTTGAAGACGGGACCTCGATGCTCTCGATGTCCTCCAGAAACGCACAGAATGAGCCAAGGGTATTGTGCTGCATGATGCTCTGGACTGTCACCTGGACCCCCTGCGCACGGAGGAAAGATAGGACCCGCAGCGCGGAGATTGAGTCCCCGCCCAACGACCAGAAGGAGGTTCCCAGCGCGACGTCAGCCGCTTCGCGATTGAGCACGCGGCACCAGATCTCTTGCACTGTCATCTCCAGCGCCGTCCGGGGCGCGATTTCGGCGTCCCGGTCCAGCGCGGACCGTCGCACGAGTTGCTCCGGAGGGATCGAGGAGACAATTTCTTGCAGACGCATGCGGTCAATCTTTTTCGATCGCGTCAGCGGCATCGTCTCAAGGGGGACATAGACTGATGGAACCATGAAGTATGGAAGAACCCGGGTCAAATAATCATGGATGCGTGACGCGAGGGCCAGGAACGAAGGGGTCTGCAAGAGCCGGATCGTCTGGCCCTGTGGCGCATCCGTCAAAGAGAGAAAGGCCGTCAGACAAGAAGACTGGGCGATGGTTGCCAGTTGGACGACCACGTCCCGGACATCGCCGGACTCCAGGCATCCCATTTTGATCTGCCACTCAATCTCCCCTAGTTCAATGCGTTGACCATGCAGCTTTACCTGGGCGTCTCGTCTGCCGTGGAAGATCAGACTGCCATCGCGGTCGTACCGAACGAGATCCCCCGTGCGATAGACGCGACGACCCGTCCGACCCGCTGTCGACCGAGAGCCACGTTGCAGCCAGCGTGGAGCAGGGAGGAAGACCCGGTCGGTCTGCAGAGGGTTGCGCAGATAGCCCTTGGCGATAATGGGTCCTTCAAACACCAACTCCCCGATGGCGCCGACAGGAGCCAGCTTCTGCGGGTCATCGGGGTCGACGATCCACGGGACGCCGCCGACAGTGTGACCGATCTTGGTCGGCATCGATTCATCCACAGTGGGGTTGACGGCGCAGGTGACGCACAGTTCACTCGGCCCATACACGTTGATTAACCGCACCGTGCGGGCCCATTGCTGCACATGTTGGCCGGACATCGCCTCCCCACCCAGCAGCAGCACGCGGAGTCCTGGCACGCTCGCAGGATCAAGCAGACTGGCGACCGATGGCGTCAGGTGCGCCCAATTGACGCCGTAGCGATTGATGCACCCAGGCAGGTCGTTGGTGCGCTCCATCTCCGACGGCATGCAGATACATCCGCCCACAATCAAGGTCGTGAGAATGTCCTCGAAGCACGTATCGAACGAGAAGGAGGCAAACTGCAGGACCCGGGACTGGTGATCGATGGCGATCCCGGGAATATGACCCGCCGCCCCGGAGCTGTAGGCGGAGTGTGAGATCACCGCGCCTTTGGGCTCGCCGGTCGACCCGGACGTGAAGCTGATGTAGGCCGGACTCGAGGCATCTCGCGGCACGCGCTCCCACTCACCGCGCCGCTCCAGCCCCGCGATGACGTCCGGACTCACGATGAAGTAGCCTTCCTCCAGCTCGGCGCAAATTGACCCGCAATGGGGCGAGGCTAGAACAAGGCGTGACTCAGTCTGTCGGAGTAGGAACTTGACTCGATGTCGTGGATGGGAGGGGTCGATTGGCACAAATGCCGCGCCGGCCCTCAAGACGGCCAGCACGGCCACGATCGCCCACATCGATTTCTCGAACAGCAGGGGCACGTATGATCCCCGCGATATACCGGACTCCACCAGGTAATCGGCAACCTTGCCTGAATATTCGTCGAGAAGGGCATAACTCAGGCGGCCATCCCAACCTTCCACCGCGAAGGCAGCAGGCCGTGCCGTGATCTGTTCTTGGATGGTGTCATGGATGCACTGAGCGGTTGCGGGCGGCACGAGGTGGTTCCATTCCCAGATCTGGTCCAGCTCCTGAGTGGTGATGACTTCGATGTCGCCTACCGTAGTCTCCGGCGCAGCGTGAATGAGTCGATCGAGGACCTGACCCAGCTGGTGCAGCATCCTCTCGACCAGCTCGTGGTCGAACCACGCGGCATCAAAATGCGCGGTGACCAAGGCCGCCCCGCCCTCCTGGACATCGACGAGAACCGTCAGAGGGGTGGTTCGGAAGGTGCCAGATCCCTCAAGTCGCTCAATCACCAGCAGGGAATTCTCCGATACCTGACCATGAGGTTGAATCACGAGGAGACAGTCGAAGTCGCAGAGACGGGCGATGTCCTCGCCGAGGTGTTTGATATTCTGCAAACCAAAGTGTTGAAACGGAATCATCCGCGCGGCCTCAGATTGCACTCGCGACAGATACTTCGCCACCGGCATACCCGGGGGGTCGAGGGAGAGCCGAACAGGGACGGTGGTGAAGGTTGGTCCCACAACAGATTCCACCCCTGGGAGAGCCACATTGCGTCCCGACACTGTCGCCCCAAACACCACGTCGCTGGATCCGGTGTGTTTCGACAAAACCAGAGCCCACGCGGCCTGCACCAGGTTCGAAAAGGTGATTGACAGCGGCGCCGAAGGGACACAGCCCTGGATCTGGTGACTGACGGTCTGCGTGGGGTGGGCCAAATCAGCGAGAGTCGAAGTCGCACCAGGAAAACTGCCAACGCTCGCATTTTCCAGATATGAGCGCCAGTAATCCCGTTGCTCGCCGACCGGCTGGCTCTGGAGATGCTTGATAAAGGTGGCAAAAGACACGGGGCTCGGCTGGGAGACCTGCGGCGAGTCGAGGTCGGCGTACGCCTGCTCGATGTGTCGAAGAACCAGCGGGGCAGAGAACCCATCGTAGGAGGAGTGGTGCTTCGTCCAGACAAAGTAAGCGTGTCCATTCTGGCTGCAGCAAATGGCCCAACGAGTCAACGGGTCCCCGAGACCGATGCAGGATTGTTGGTCAAAGACCAGGTAGTCGTCCAAGGCCACCGCGGGCGCCTGCCAAGTAATGCCTTCTTGATATACCACTTGAATCATGTCAGAGGAAGAGGAGAGTTGGACGATGGAAGTCCGGAGAATCGGGTATGCCTCCACCGCCGCTTCACAGGCCTTTTGAAACCGTGGGATGTCAACATCGGGTTGGATGCGGTACACCTCCTGCGCGATGTACGAACCGGTCTTGCGCACGGAAAGTGCCATTAACCCGGCCTGCAACGGCGTGCATGGTAGAATGTCGACAATGTTCTTTCCTCGCCCACATGCATCCGCTACTTCGGATATGAGTTCATCCAACGGCCCAAGATGTGCTATGCACTCAAACGCCACTGCATTTGTGGCGCGAACTCCGTCCTCCTCCTGCTCGTCCTCCTCGTCGTCACGGACCAGTTGTATCTGGACAGACTTGGCCATGTCCTGGAGAACAGGAGCGTTGAATATCCCGGCCACAGTCAGAGTGATACCGAACCGACGGCTGGATGCCACAAGCCTCATAGCCAGAAGGGAGTCGCCACCCAAAGCGAAGAAGTTATCGCTGGCGGCAATTGCGGACCCGTCGAGATGCAACACCGTCGCCCACAGATCCCGCATTTTGAGCTCTGCGGGGGTGCTGGGCACGACGATCTCCGCCACCTCGTCGGCCGCCGCCATGGCTCCCAGCTGCTCTGGACTGAGAGAAAGTACCCACGCCCGGAGGGCCTTGCGATCGACTTTACCCGAGGTGCTCGATGGCAGGTGCCTCAGCGGGACGAAGGCGGCCGGAATCATATAACTGGGCAGCTGAGCAGACAGATGCTGCGCCAGCGCACACACCGCAGAATTCCAGTCTGGGGCGGGTTCCGCGACCAACAAGGTCGAGTCTGAGTCTTCTTGCCCAGAAGCAGGATGCTGGCCGGGGTGGTGGACCAGAAATGCGGCGAGCTTCCTGCTTTGGCGCGGGTGGCCGGATTCAACAACGTCGACGGCCACCTCCCAGCCTCGGCCATGGGATCGAATACAGTCCTCAATCTCGTTCACCTCGACTCGTTGGCCCCGTATCTTGACCTGGGTATCCTTGCGACCCATGAACAAGAGACTCCCATCGGCACCGTACCTGACCAGGTCACCCGTCTTGTAGAATCGGCGTGGTTTGGTGGAAGAGGGCCCTTGCCCCCTCGCCCAAGACGGGTTCGTGAAGAATTGCGCACTGGTTTGGTCATGGCTGTTAAGGTAGCCTCGCGCGAGCACCGGGCCCTCCAGGACCATCTCGCCGACGAGACCTATCGGGAGGAGGATGTCATGATTTGCCGGGTCGACCACCCATGACAACGCG